TTTGACATGTTAAAGGATAGTACAAAAAGAAATCTCTACCCATGCCACACACAGTCAAGAAGAGCACATTACCAGATAATATAGAGTTCAGCAGGAATTTCTGTGGATTTATGTCACTAATAGGACAGCTTAAAAAAAATACGAAGCCATGCCTCAGTAGAATCAAAATGGAATACCTAGAGCCTTTGTGATCCTTTTGTTGTCATATAACTTGAGAATCTTGGGAGTAGTGTTGAGGATTATGAAGACTTTCCTAGAACTCGAATGTGAATAAATTATAACCCACTCTCAGTGCACTGATCTTCTTCAGATGAAAATAGGTACAGCATCCTGACTAAAATGAGCCAGTCATGGCCAAAGCTTCCCATTCCCAGTCTACCCTCATAGCGTGAACTAGAAGGACCTTATGTCAGTCCTCCAAAATTAAACTCTGTAGAATATAGTCTGCTCATAATCATAACAGGGTTGGTCTCTACCTTGATAAGAAGATTTAAATAGAAAAAGGAAATGGAATTGTTTGAAGGCTTTGTTAGGCACCAGGAGCTTTATATATCTGTATATATAGTTTCAGAATAAATGACAGAATTTACTAATAGCTAAACAGGTATAGGAAAGCACTGAGGTAACTTAACCTAACTACCCACAATACTACACTTAGATAAATTTCTCTTTGTTCAAGGGGGTATAAACAGGGGAAAAAATGGAGAGTAAAAATACTCAGCACTAAAGAAGGGTATATTCCTGTGAAGTACTCATAGCAAAATCTTAGGGCCTGGCATTGTAGCATAGGGGCTTAGGCCTTTGCTTGTGATATCGGCGTCCCATAAGCAGGCAGCAGTTTCAGTCCCAGCTGCTCTGCTTCTAGTCCTGGTTCCTGCTGCTGTACCTGGTAAGTCACTAGAGAGCGGTCCAGATACTTGGGCACCTGCCATCTATGTGGGAGACCTGAATGGAGTTCTAGGCTCCTGGCATCAGCCTGGACCAGCCGCAGCCATTGCAGCCAGTTAGAGAGTGAGCCAGTGGATAGATCTCTGTGTCCATCTGTCAGTCAGTCTGTCTCTCTCTCTTGCATTCTGCCCTTCAAATAAATAAATCTTATTTAAAAAAATAAGAAAGAGGGGCCAGTGCTGTGGCACAGCAGGTTAACACCCTGGTCTGAAGCACCAGCATCCCATATGGATGCTGGTTCGAGACCCAGCTGCTCCACTTCCTATCCAGCTCTCTGCTGTGGCCTGGGAAAGCCCCTGCACCCATGTGGGAGACCCAGAAGAAGCTCTTGGCTACTGGCTTCGGATTGGCGCAGCTCCGGCCGTTGTGGCAAATTGGGGAGAACCATCGGATGGAAGACTGATCGACCTCCCTCCCACCTCCCCTCTCTCTCTACCTCTGCCTCTCCTCTCTCTGTGTAACTCTAACTTTCAAATAAATAAATAAAGCTTAAAAAAAAATGAGAAAGAAATGAAAGGTGGCTGGCAATGTGATGTAGTAGGTTAAGGCACCACTTGTGACACCCTCTTCGAATCCAGTTCTCTCTCTCTTTTTTTTTTTAATTTATTTATTTGAAAGAGTTACACAGAGAAGGAGAGTCAGAGAGAGAGAGAGGTCTTCTGTCTGCTGGTTCACTCCCCAATTGGCCACAATGGGAAAAGCTGCACCAATCCGAAGCCAGGAACTTCTTCTGGGTCTCCCACGTGGGTACAGAGGCCCAAGGACTTGGGCCATCTTCCAGTGCTTTAGCAGGCCATAGCAGAGAGCTGTATTGGAAGTGAAGCAGCTGGGTCTCAAACTGGCAGCGCTGGTGCCTCAGGCCAGGGCGTTGACCTGCTTCGCCACAACACCGGCCCCCAGTTCCCTGTTAATGGACCTGAGAAGACAGCAGAAGATGGCCCAAGTGCTTGGAGCACTCCCACCCACATGGGAGACCCGGAGGAAGTTCTTGGCAACTGACTTCAGCCTGGGCCAGCATTGGCCATTGCAGCCATTTGGAAAGTGGGTCAATGGGTAGATCTCTCAATCTCTCTGCCACTCTGCCTTTCAAATAAATAAATCATATATGCAGATTTAGGAACATAGTGATACTTTCATCCTCTTCCCTCTTAGATTCCAACTCTTAATTTTTACGAAGATCTATTTTCAGTTTACTTATGATCATATAGTTAACCCTACACTAAGTAAAATAAGTAAAGCTTAAGAGAGGAGTACTGGCATTATGGTGTAGCAGGTCAAGCTGCCACTTGTGACACCAGCATCCCTTATGAACACTGATTGAATCACAGCTGCTCCGCTTCCAATCCAGCTCCCTGCTTATGCGCCTGGAAAGACAGCAAAAGATGGACCAAGTGCTTGGGTTCCTGTCCCCAGTGTGGGAGACCCATATGAAGATCCATGCTCCTGGCTTCAGCCTGGCTGACCCCTGGCTGTTGGTAGCTGTTTGGGTTTGAACCAACAGATGGAAACCTTCATGTAAAAATTCAAAAAAGATTTTTGAGGAGTCGGCATTGTGACATAGCTGATAAAACCTCTGCCTGCTGGCATCCTGTGCCCTGCTACCCTGCCAATCCATCTCCTTGTTAATGGCCTGGTAAAAGCAGTGGAAGATTGCCCAAGTGTTTGGGCCCCTACTGTGGGGAGCAAACCGGACTAGACTGAGTTACTGGAATTAAGACTTATTCTATGCATCTGCTCTCCCACAATATGGCGCTGGGAGAGAAGTAAACAGCTTCCGCACAGCTGCCTCCAGTTCAACCAATAAACTGTAGGACTTGCTACTGATTGGAGGAGAGCAGCGTACTCGGCGTGTGGGCAGCCGAGTTGGGATTGGCAGAGGAGGACTATAAAGGAGGAGAGAGACGGCATGCACCAGGAACATCTATGGGGAACATCTAAGGGAACCCGTGCAGCCCCCGAGAGAACCGGCCGGCGGTGTGCCGCTCCCCTGCGGAAGTGGGGAATGTGGCCAGGGGGAACTGCCCTTCCACGGAGGTGGAAGGGATAGTAGCCAACCCGGGAAGAACCAGCAGCAAACCCGGGGAGGGCCGAGCAGACAGAAAGAACAGCGCAGGGTCCTGTGTTGCTCCTCCACGAAGAGGGGGAGCGACACCCTACCAGTCATGTGGGAGACCTGGATGAAGCTCCTTTTCCACCCCTGGCCATTGCAGCTATCTAGGGAGTGAACCAGTGAAAGGAAGGTACCTCTCTCTCTACTTCTTTCCGTGACTCTTTTCAATAAATAAATAATTTTGAAAGACATTTTCTGAAACTGATTTTGGCTCCTTTTTTTTTTTTAAAGATTATTTGAAAGAGTTATACAGAGAGAGGAGAGGCAGAGAGAGAGACAGATGGGGGTCTTCCATCTGATGGTTTACTCCCCAATTAGCAGCAACGGCCGGAGCTGTGCTAATCCGAAGCCAGAAGCTTCTTCCGGATCTCCCATGCAGGTATAGGGGCCCAAGGACTTGGGCCATCTTGTACTGCTTTCCCAGGCCACAGCAGAGAGCTGGATCGGAAGTAGAGCAGCTGGGTCTTGAACCAGCATCCATATGGGATGCAGGCACTTCAGGCCAGGGCTTTAACCTGCTGTGCCACAGCGCGGCCCCCTGATTTCAGTTCTTTGTTTTGCTCTTCTTTTTGAGAGATCCTGTTTTCCTGTTTTTTGTACCCCAATATGCCTTTTTTTTTTAAAGATTTATTTATTCACTTAGAGTTACACAGAAAGAGAAGGAGAGGCAGAGAGAGAGGTCTTCCATCCACTGGTTCACTCCCCAGCAACGGCCAGAGCTGCGCCGATCTGAAGCCAGGAGCCAGGAACTTCTTGCATGTCTCCCACGTGGGTGCAGGGGCCCAAGGACTTGGGCCGCCATCTACTGCTTTCCCAGGCCAAAGCAGAGAGCTGGATCAGAAGTGGAGCAGCTGAAACTCAAACCGCCGCCTATATGGGATGCCAGCACTGGAGGCAGCGGCCTCACCCACTATGCCACAGTGCTGGTCCCCCAATATGCCTTTTGTGCTAGCTGGGAGGTGGGTGGTGACTTGAGTGAGAAAGGTGTTGGTGTCTCAACTTGGGAGTCTTGAAATGACAAATAGGGCTGTTCTGGACAGTGGCAGAGTCACCTCTGAGTATTTTTCCCTGAAACTGCGTTGTTGTAGATGGTTTTAAGGAAAGAATTAAATGATATATTTCTTGTTCTTCCCTTAGATAGCTTATTATATCCATTGACTAGCATATGTTTTACATGCAATTTTGAGAATAGGAAGTTAGTGCAGGGCTGGCATTGTGGCATAGTTGGTTAAGCCTCCACCTGCAGCCCCAGCATCCTGTATGGGTCCTGGTGCTCTACTTCGGATCCAGCTCCCTGCTAATGGCCTGGGAAAGCAGCAAAAGATGGCCCAGATGCTTGGGCTCTTGTAACCAAGTGGGAGACCCCAAGAAGTTCCAGACTTCTAGCTTTGGCCTGTCTCAATCCAAGCTGTTGTGCCATTTGGGAAGTGAACCAATGGATGGAAGACCTCTGTCTCTTGTCTGTCTCTCTCTATCTTTCAAATAAATCAAAAAAAAAATTAATGCTCCTCCAGGAGATATGTGTTTTACTGGTTTTAAGTTTGTATAAATTTCTTTGGCAAGATTTGTATATACTTTTTTTTTTTAAAGATTGATTTATTTATTTGAGAGGCAGAGAAAGAAAGATTTTCCATCCACTGGTTCACTCCCCAAATGGCCATAAGAGCTGGAGCAGAGCCTATCTGGAGCCAGAAGCTTCTTCCAAGTTTCCACGTGGATGCAGGGGCCCAAGGACTTGGGCCATCTTCCACTGCTTTCCCAGGCCATAAACAGAGAGCTGGATCGGAAGAGGAGCAGCCAGGATATGCTCCAGCGCCCACATGGGATGCCGGTACCCCGGGCAGTGGCTTAGCCAGCTATGCCACAACACCATCCTGCATATATTCTTACAAACTATTTACAAAAGCAACTGAACTTCAGATGGTTTGGATGACTCATTTAGGAAGCAGCAATACGGGAGCACCCTTTCAGTGCCATTCAACAAGAACAGCAGAGAAAGTGGATTGAAGAGTTGAATAAGCAAATAGAAGGTGATCGGCAAAGAAAAATAGAGGAAAAGATTATCTATTCAAAGGTAATACATAGAACTTTTATGGCTATAAAAGAAAAAATAACCTCAAAGTGTTGAAACATAAACTTATAAGTATTTTGAAACTGCTTGACAAAGCCAAAATGTTCAAACTATTTTACATTTGTCCATGAGAACGTGATTTCATTGAAAATACATTTAGAGTGGTTTTGCATAGCTTTTTGTTACTTTTTAGAAATTTCCTAGTTCTTTTAACTTCTCAGCTAATTACCTGAATGTATAAGAAATCAAAACAGTTTAATTTTAAATTTTTATGATGATTATTCTGTTCAGTGATTATTTTTAGAAATGTTTGTCATTTTGGATTGTTTGTGGGAATAATTCAAAAAATTCTTAGCATTCTTATTTCTCGTGATTAGGGTGAGGAGCATGACAGATGGGCAGTGCATTTTGATTCATTAAAGAGTTGTCTTGGTTCTCAGTCTCAACTGTCCTCTCGGTCAACACACAAACAACCTGAGTACTTCTGTATCTCACCTGACACTCAGGAGCTGGCTGATATCAGCAGTGTTTGTACACCTATGACTGGAAGTCAGGTTGAACCTTCAGAGGAGGCGCAAATAGCAAAGCCTGTTAGGGATGTGACTATGGTAAACACTCAGAAGACAAAGTAAGTTTGTTAAGTATATATTAACTTTTTTTTGTAAGAGTCTGGTTTTTTAGTAGAACTGTTACTTTGTCTGTTTGGTTTGAGATTGGGCATTTTTCTTTGAAACAGAAGTACTTAGTAGATTTATCCCAGATAGAAATTATTTAGCTTGTTGAACCTACCTTTTTAGAGGATTGAATAATATATGTTATCTTGTTAGCTTTCTCCGTTCTATGACTGCTCTCCTGGACCCAGCTCAGATTGAAGAACGAGAAAGGAGGCGTCAAAAACAGTTAGAACATCAGGTATGGTGTTGAAAAACATTTTTTTTCTTTGCCTTAATGTGTAATAGCCATAGCCAACATATACCTAAGTAAGTGGAAAATGAAATTCTGGTAGAAAATTGTGATCCTATCCTGCGATGAATCCAATTCCTACCCTAACTGGCATAATGTTAGAATTATGTTTATGCTATGAGGTGACCCAAGTACCTGGGCTCCTGCCATCCATGTGGGAGAGCTGTATGGAGTTCTAGGCTCCTAGCCTCGACCTGGCCCAGTCCTGGACCATTGCAGCCGTTTTGGGAGTGAACCAACGGATGGAAGATCAATCTCTCTCTCTCTCTCTCTTCTCTCTCCTCTCTTTGTCTGTCTCTTTGTCTCTTTGTCTCTCTTCTCTCTTAACTCTGCCTTTCAAAAAAGTAAGTAAGTCTTTTTTTTTTTTTTAAAGAATTATGATAAACACCTGACAGGGTCACCAGCTACAACCATCTGTCTTCCAGTAGAGAAATAAATTGTGTATATGAATTTGAACTCTCTTAAGTTAATATTAGATTTTCATCACTTTTTTTTCTTGAGTTCTGTTCAAAAGGAGAATCAGTTCTTTGAAGGGAACTATGTTGGGGATTGAAGTACAGTTGTGATTAAGAAATCCAGCATATACTTGTATAAGAAAGGAAGCTAAGATTTAAATCTGTAATATTAGTTTAATGCTAAAGAGATTGATGTGTCTGAATATAGTTTTTTTAAATTTATTTTATTTATTTGAATGACAGTTACGGAGAGAGGTAGAGCCAGAGAGAGAGAGGTCTTCCATTCTGTTGGTTCACTCCCCAAATGATCGTAATGGCCAGAGCTGAGTTGATACGAAGCCAGAGGTCAGGAGCTTCCTCTGGGTCTCCTACGTGGGTGCTGGGGCCCAAGAACTTGAGCCATCTTCTACTGCTTTCCCAGGCCATAGCAGAGAGCTGGATCAGAAGAGAAGCAGCCGGGACTAGAACTGCACTCATTTGGGATGCCGGGGCTTCAGGCCAGGGCTTTAACCCACTGCACCACAGCTCCAGCCTTTGAGTATAATTCTTTAAAACCTCTGATACAGGACCAGCACTGTGGTATAGTAGGCTGGGCTTCTGCTTATGGTGCTGGCATCCCATATGGGCACTGTATGTTTTCCGTATGTGTCCTGGCTGCTCATCTTCCAAACCAGCTCTCTGCTATGGCCTGAAAGAGCAATAGAAGATGGCCCAAGTGGTTGGGCCACTACACTCGCTTGGGAGACCTGGAAGAAGCTCATGGCTCATGGCTTTGGAGCAGCCAAGCTCCTGGTGTTGGAGCCATTTGGGGAGTGAACCAGCATAAGGAGGACCTTTCTGTCTCTTCCCTCCATCTGTAACTTACCTCTCAAATAAATAAATAGATTAAAATATTTTAAAAAAATGAGGCGCTGGCACCATGGCTCACTTGGTTAATCCTCTGCCTGCGGTGCCGGCATCCCATATGGGTGCCGGGTTCTAGTCCTGGTGCTCCTCTTCCAGTCTAGCTCTCTGCTGTGGCCTTGGAAGGCAGTGGAGGATGGCCCAAGTGCTTGGGCCCCTGCACCCGCATGGGAGACCAGGAGGAAGCACCTGGCTTCTGGCTTCGAATTGGCACAGTGTGCCGGCCGTAGTGGCCATTTGGGGGGTGAACCAACAGAAGAAAGACCTTTCTGTCTGTCTCTATCTGTCCAAAAAAAAAACAAAAAACTTTGATAGATTAAGAATTTGATATGGTTGTTAGTCTTGCTCAGTTTGATCAGCACACATTAATATCTGCTACTTAGCAGGCTTTATGCTAAGCACTGAGATTATTTCTTTAGTTGTTTTTCTTTGATTTCTGTTAATGGCCTGGGTTTGAAGAATAAGCATGTAGAATATGGTCAGACAAGTGGGAGATGGGAGATATGTATTGGAGATTTGTCATTTTGTCTTACATAATATTTTCTGGATACACTACTGACAAAAACTTACTCTTTAGTCACCAAAAAATTCTTCCTGGATTTTTATTTGTGACAATGATTTATGTGGTTGTTGATGACTAGAAAGCCATCACTGCTCAAGTAGAAGAAAGGCGCAGGAAGAAGCAGCTAGAAGAAGAGCAGAGAAAGAGGGAAGAACAAGAAGAGGAGCTTCGCTTAGCACGAGAACGAGAAGAGATGCAGAAACAGTATGAAGAAGACCTACTTAAACAAAAACAAAAGGAAGTATGTATTTAAGATTTTTTTATTTTTTTGAAAGGCAGAGTTTCAAAGAGAAGGGAAGAGACAGAAATCTTGTATCTGCTGATTTACTCCCTAAATGGACACAGTGTCAAGGGCTGGGCCAGGCCAAAGCCAGGAGCCTAGAACTTCATCAGGGTTTCCCACATGGGTGGCAGGGGTCTAAGCTGTCTTCTTGCGCTTTCCCATGCACATTAACAGGGAGCTGGATCAGAAGTGGAGTAGCTGATGCCAGCATCACAAGTGGTGGCTTAACCTGCTATACTGCAGTGCTGGCCCCAGAAGTAAGTATTTAAACTGCAACATTCTAGAATAAAATTGTATGCATTTTTAAAGGAAATATAACCAAAAGTATACCAGAACTGGCTGCTAAAGGCAAAAGGTGCTGAGACCAAAGAAAGTGAAAAATTCAAAATTACATAGAGTATGATTTATTTGGAGAACTTACAGGACTGAGGTATGGTCTTGTGTGGCCATGAGACAATGGATTCCCACACCACAAGGAGGAGATAAATAGCTTTATACACAGTAGTGGCCCATGGCTAATCCCCTGGACTTTTCCAGAAAATGTTAACATTTGTAAGAGACATTTCAGGCAACAGGCTATCTTGTTGATGGGGTGACCTTCAGGTCTCCTGAAGGACAAGTTGTAGTCATGTCAGGTTAAATCCTTGCGTTCCACCCCTTACAGCTGGCTTTGCTGTTGTTGTTGTTATAATTTTACTTGAAAAGCAGAGTGACTGAGAGGATTAGAGGGGGAGGGCGGGATAGAATGTGCTTCCATCCGCTGGTTCATTCCCCTAATGCCCACAACATCTAGGCCTGGGGCCTGGAACTCCCATCAGGGTGTCCCACGGGAGTACTACGGAATCATATACTTGCTGCTTAGTAGGAAGCTGGATCAGAAACAGAGGCAGGGGCCAGCACTGTGGCATATGAGGCTAAACCTCCGTCTATGGTACTGGCATCCCATATGGGTGCTGATTCATGTCTGGCTGCACTTCTTTTGATCCAGCTCTCTGCTTATGGCCTGGGAAAGCAGTGGAGGATGGCCCAGGTGCTTGTGCCTCTGCACCCGTGTGGGAGATCCAGAAGAAACTCTTAGCTCCTGGCTTCAGATTGGCTCATCGGCAGCCATTTGGGGAGTGAACCAGCACATAAAAGACCTTTCTCTCTGTCTCTCCTCCTCTCTACCTCTGAAATAAATCTTTAAAAAGAAAAAAAGAGGTAGGACTTGATCCTAAGCACTCCAATATGAAATGCAGGCGTCCCAAGGAGTGGCTGTAATGTCCATCCCATAACCAAGTCTTCATACCCTTTCCTCCTTTTTTTTTTGATAAAGATTTATTTATTTGAAAGAGTTACACACAGAGAGAAGGAGAGGCAGAGAGAGGGTGAGAGAGAGGGGTCTTCCATCTGCTGGTTTGCTCCGCAGTTGGCCACAACAGTTGGAGCTGCACCAGTCCAAAGCCATAAGCCAGGAGCTTCTTCCTTGTCTGTCATGTGGGTGCAGGGGCCCAAGGACTTGGGCCGTCTTCAACTGCTTTTTCAGGCCATAGAAGAGAGCTAGATTGGAAGTGGAGCAGCTAGGACTCGAACTGGTACCCATATGGGATGCCAACACTGCAGGTGACAGCTTTACCTGATACGCCACAGTGCTGGCCCCACCCCAAATTCTAATAGCATTAGGAAAATGAGTTAGCTTTTAAAACAGATTCCAGCAAAAACAGCATCAGACCACAGCCATGAATGAAAATGTTTAATAGGGACTTGTAATCGCAGTCTATACTATCTAGCTAGGCTATACTGGTAGCATCATTTCTGTTAGTGATTGAAGGTGGTATGGTGTGGTGTAACATAAATGTTGGCCTACATGGCAGAATACATCAGTGATGTGAAATACTAGTGGCTGAATGGCAAACCAGAGAGAGATCAGTTTTAGTGCCCTAGAGACTACTGATACCGTGGCAAGAATATCCCAGGGGAACAAATCATTTGCACCCTCATTTAATCATCCCTTCCCCTGTACTTCACAGGACGTTCAAAACAATGCTGTCTCTCCCTGGGAACCAGCTTGGGCACCATGGCATCTGGATGTACATTTTGGACATGGATGGCATTTTGGACTAGGGTTGTAGTCCCCTAGCAGCTCATAAGGGGCATTTACATTTACTAATATGGGTATTGAGATTAACATGGATATTTAAATTTATTAACACTTTTCTGCAGACTGTAGTGCAGCTATCTGAAGGTTTACCTAATAGAACGCCTGTCTATTGAACATTTTTTTCTTGACACCAACTCTGCTGCTTTTTTATCTAGCAGATGAAAGTGCTTCATGAACCACTGTGGTGTGATTTGAGTGCCTTGGCCACTGTCAATGCAGCAGTGGGTACTACACAAACATCATGTTTAACTTTTAAGACCTTTAATGTGGCATTTTAATTGTCTTTCTTGTTAACCAAAGGGCTGCTTAAGGCCAGTAGGTATAGTTACACAGGTTAGAGTATCTATGTCACTTACTGTTTGTCGAAGGGCCAGTGTAACAAACCTGCCAATCTTGGATAGGTTAGCATGATGTAGGATCAGTTCCTGAAGTACATACATGTAGGACAGGTGGTGGGGCCCAAGGCACAGACCCCTGTAACATTTGACTCATGACTGCATGCCCTTAATTATGTCCCATCTTCCTTGAGCTCGTACTGTGTACCCATGGGGCCAGATAAGCCATTTGGGTTGGGACCAGGGACTGTACTTGAATTAAAGCATCTGCCTTTGTTGTGTTCCGGATTGCCCAGATGGAAAGAACCAGTGAGACTCACCGTAATGCAAGAACAAAGGGACTTTATTTGTAGGTCCAGCATGCTGGGGCCCAGCCTCCCGTGCAATGCAGTGCTGGGAGACCAAGACCCCCTTGTTTATGCTCTCGGGGTTTTTATAGTTCCCAGGCAAACAAGTATTACATCCGCATTCCTTCCTTCTGGCCCTGCAGGACCAAGGACGGCCCACCTTATTGGTTGCCTCTACCTGGTCCTGCCGAACCAGACGAAGGACTGTCCAGTGTCAGGTTTCATCTTCTCATACCAGGCGCATCCTGGGCCTAGTAAGTTTTTTTTTCTTGTGAGAAGTCTGTCATGGCATGGCTCTGGCCTCTGACACCTTCATGTTCCCGGAAGTGGAGGTCTTAACATGAGCAAATACGTGCTAAACACTTAATTGTAACTCAGGTTCTCTAGCCATTCTGACATTTGTCGCAACATCACACGTCCCTAGAGACGCGTTCCTAATATAGGCCATTGTTCTGCTTTCCCTTTTGCCGTTCAGAGTAAGGTTTTGGTACACTGCCCAACTGTCAGTACAAACAGCCAACAGCCATGGCTTAGGAGCCAGTGTTTGCCATACCACACACAATTCTGCCATTGGCTGCTCTGATTTCCCCATACCCCATAGCAGGTCGTATTGCAGTAGCCATCCCGACACTTGGGTTCCCCTTGTTTGACACATAAGTATACCATTTTCAGGTTCTTGAGTTTGCCCCTCTTATACTTACGAAACAATAGGCACTAAGGCAGCCATGAGGGGTGGTATGAGACTGAAAAAAAAAAAAATCCAAGATTATCTACAGTGTAATTTACTTAGAGGACTTAATAGAATTGTGGTCTCTGTTGGCCATCAGATAATGTATCCCTGCACTACAAGGTGGTGACAAAAGGGTTTTAAAGACAGAGGTGGCCCATAGCTGATTAAGATGCCCTGGACTTTTTCTGGAAACATTAACATTCTTAAGAGATGTAATGGGCTTAAGAGAAGAGATATAATGTGCAAGTTATCTTAATGAGATAACCTCCAAGGCCACCTAAAGGGCAGGAAGGCAGTTTTGTCTAAAATGTCGAGCTGATTATCTACAGCATGTACTTTGAAATTATGGACCTATTTGTGGAAACATTAAAGCTTTGAGGAAAGTTAGGAAATTACAGAAAAGGCTTGAGAAGGGTTTATATTTCATGTGATGTAGTTCACAAATGCTGAATAGTTTTGTCCTCTATGCTGAGGAGGTCTGAGCAGGACTTTGGTACAGTGGGTTAAGTACTGCTTGGGATGCCTGCATGCTCTGTCAAAGCACATTCCGTATCAAGTCCCAGCCACTCCAGCTCTGATCCAGCTTCTTACTGCTGCATACTGGAAAGCAGTACGTGCTTGGGCCCCTGCCACCCATGTGGGAGATCCTGATGGAGTTCCAGACTCCTGGATTTGGCCAGGCCTAAACCTGCTTGTTTTAGGCATCTAGGAAGTGGACCAGTGGATGGAAGAAATGGCTGTCTATCTGTTGCTGTGGCTTTCAAGTAGATGAAAATAATAGATAATGAGAAGGGGGCTGGTGTTGTGGCACAGTGGGTTGTTACCATTGATGCCAGATCCCAGCTGTAGTTTGAGTCCCAGCTGCTCTGCTTCTGATCCAGCTCCCTACTAATGTACCTGGGAAAGCAAAGGAAGATGGCCCACATACCTGGGCCCCTGCCCCCAAATGGGAGATGGAGATGGTGTTCTTGGCTCCTGGCTTCAGACTGGCCAAGCTCCTACCATCACAGCCATTTGGGAAGTAAGCCAACAAATGGAAGTTATTCCCTCTGTCTGTCCTTCCGTCTCTGTAATTCCACCTTCCAAAAAAATAAATCCTTAAAAGAAAAATGAGGTCAAGATGAGTTACTGCAGCAAAAGTTACCTATGTATATCACTGTGATCTACTGTTAGCTATCAGAGGAATCTCTGCTTCATTTCTAAGCAGTTATTATGTTAATTATTCTAGGTGTTCCTAGAATTCCAGTAACATGTATCAGCAGGAGCATTTGCAGAGTATTTAGCTGAGATTGATGATAGGCTTATGTGCTAAATAATAACCTTTTAAAAAGAGTAGCTGTCTATTTGCCTGGAAGACAAGTGGTATAGACAGGATAGGTATGGTAGTGTCAACTGCCATGTTTGTGCCAACCTGATAGAGTATATCACATAGTAGCATTCAGTTGTCAGTTTAAGGAGCAAAACACAGAGTCTGCTATTTAGCCTTTTCCCACTTAGCAGGCTTCACCAAAGTATGATCTGTTTTCTGACTTCATTGAATTGAAAAGGCTGAGCCAGCTATGTGATATATCATGTGTTCACCAAAAACAGTTATCTTTACTGCAAGTGGCCATAACCCTTACGTTTTACCTTTTAATACTTATTTTTAATAGATTGACTTGTAATTTTAAAAACTGAGAAATTAGTAGAAACTTGAAATGGCTAGATTTCTTGTATTTGTGATTTTTAATATAGCTGTAGAAAGATATTAACATGAAAGCCCTGTTGACTTACCTTATGACTAAAGTGTTAATTGACCCATAGAAGCTTAGAATATTTACTGAGAGAAATAGTTAAGTTTGTATATGTTTGATAATTTAACAACTTTGTAATTCTCACTGTTAATAGGAAATAATGACTCTCAAGACAAATGAGTTATTCCAGACAATGCAGAGAGCACAGGAGCTGGCTCAGAGACTGAAACAAGAACAGAGAATCCGGGAATTGGCTCAGAAAGGACATGACACTTCCAGATTGATTAAAAATCTTGGTGGTAAGAGCTTAATCAGAATTTTTTGAAATTTTTAAGTAATTGCCTATTTTGAATACTTTTAATACACATATAAATATTTTGAAACACATAATAGACCTTAAAGTGATCCTAACTTTATAAATAGTAATGTTTATATTAGTGTATTTTGGAAACTACCTTAAAAGTAAAACTAAACATTACATATTCTCTATCTTCTCACATAAATGTTCTATACGTGTTGATCACAGTAATCTGAAACCATTGGTAATGTATATACTTTTGTACTCAGTATTTTAAGAAAAATTGATTTCTCTAAATTCAACAATAGGTAAGAATTCAGGTAATTTTGTGGAATATAGGCTAGCCTGTTTATTGTGATTAATCAATTATCCAGTACTGCTGCTATACATAACTTCCATTGATATTCACTTAAGTGTCATTTTATTGCATCTTTTTTCTCCATTGTCAGTTGATACAATACAGTTGGAATATAACGTGTCCACTAGCAACCTTTCCAATGTAAGACATGAATTTGAGGAAGTCAGTGGTACAGTGAATACTTCTATCAGTGCTACCACTTCTCCCAGGAAGGATACTGGTGTGCAAACAGGTATATATATGTGGAAAATTATAATTGGATTTCATATTTATTTATTTTGTATCAGAATCATGTTCTGTTTAAAGATTAAAAATGTGAGGCTTTCCGTGAGTTGGAAAATAAAGGAACCTCTGGGTTTCTAATTCTTTTGTAAGCATTTTATTGATGCTTAATACATGAACTTTCTTTTAAAGGGTACTATTCAGTTCTGCAGCTGTCACAATGTTTCAGAGCATTTTGTAAGAAAAAAACGTTATTCTTGGTAGTCATTGTCTTTTCTCTCAAAGTTCATGTAATTGGAACCATGTGTAATGTGGTCTGTGGTGTCTGGCTTCTTTGTTTTGTTGTTATGTCAATCCTTGATCTGTTTTTGTTGTGTGATACTCCATTGTATGGAAATGCTTTATTTATTTGAGCGAATGGACATTTGTGTCATTTAAACTGTGGCTGTGAACATATTGCTATTAACATTCATGTGCAAGTTTTTGTGTGTACGTTTGTGTTTTCAGTTCTCTTGGAGAAATACAGTTGCAGTCATATGGCAGCTCTACGGCTAACATTTTGAGGAACTACTACTTTCTAAAGCAACTATCATTTTACATTCCTGCCAAGAATATGAGGGTTCTAATTTCTTGATACCCCTGTTTGGCATCCCATGTGCGGGCTGGTACCAGCTGTTGGACTCCCAATCTAGCTCTTTGCTGATATGCCTGGGAAAGCAATGAAGTGCCTGGGCCCTACATGGGAAACCTAAATGAAATTCCTGGCTTCTGGTTTCAGCCAGCCTAGCCTGGCCTTAGCCATTGCGATCCACTGGGGAGTGAACTAACAGATGGGAGATATTTCTCTCCGTGTAACTATGCCTTTCAGATAAGCAGGTTAAAGATAGCTTTGGAGAAACTGAAAGAGTCATGCACTGTTGGGAATGTAAAATGGTAGGGCTGTCATAGAAAACTGCATTATTTCCTCCAGAAATTAAAATTAGAATTACCGTGTGACCTAGCAGTGTCACTTCCAGGTATATACTCAAAACAACTAAAACTTGTCAAAGAGATGTTTGGATACCTGTGTTGACAGCAGTATTTGTAATAGCCAAAAGGTGGAAGCAACCCCATAGACTGGATAAACAAAGTGTGGTATGCACATATACATATATATACAATGGAATATTATTCAGAGGAAATGATGCTAAGTGAATATGCCAGTCAGATTCATAGAAAGTAGAATGCTGGTTGTCAGTGGGGGAGGGGAAATAAAGTTAATACTAAAAACAAATAGCACCTTAGAGGACATTCACACAATTGTTTAGTGTGAGGAAAATTAAACATTTTTGTCTTATCCTAAAACTTTTGCAGATGAATCAGTAATCCAGAGGGAAATTGCCAGCTGTCCATCTCCAGAGATTTCTATGGGATTTAATGGTCAGTTTAAGAAAAACAAACAAGGACTAATTCAGGATAAAGGAGCTAACTTAGAAAGAGAGAGCAGTTGGCAAGACGACGAGTCTGATCAGTTCACGAGAACAGAGAAACCAACAAAGCACATGAAGAAATATCCTAAGAGGCCTGACTGGAATATTAATAAGCCACTCAGAAGGTATATTCCAGCATCAGAAAAGTACCCCAAGCAGCTTCAAAAGCAGAGAGAAGAAAAAAAACTAAGGCGGCAGATGGAACTGCTTCATTTGGTGGAAAGAAATAATCCTGGACAACTCTCTCAAAACAGAGGCAGTTCGCCAGCTCTGCATCCATTTCATCAAGAAGCTGAGTCAAAAACCAAGTGGCATCTAGGCAAAAAGGTAAACCCATATCTGTGTTCAAAACAGTTCTTACTTGTCTTCATGAATCGTGTGTGGCTGGCTTCACACTCCAGCAGAACTGGCTAAGTAGTTTGAACAGAGAGGATCACATTGTTCCTAAAGCTGAAAATGTTTATTATCCTTCACAGAAAAATTTGTACTTCTGTACATGAATATTGCTAAATACACATTCAGGTATATATGTTGTTTGTATGCTAGAGAGAGAACAGATGGGGAAATCAGCAATTCTTAGGTTGGTCTAACTCTAGAATCAAATGTAGCCCATTATTTTAGTGCCTGTCATTCATATAGTATGTAGTTCAAATTGTGGAAATGCTATATACTCCTCTTTGTACATTTATCTATCCATTTTTTAGGAAGCAGAGCCTTCGAACATTAATTCATTCAGCCAAGAAAGGTATGTTATGTATTAGATTAATTCCATAGTTAAGAAATGTTTCCTGTGTGGTTGACAAAACATCAAAATCCAGCTGAGATCAGGCATACGTGAATCAAGGGTGCCATCTTAGTTGGAGCATGAAGGCCCATGTTGGGCTAGGCAAGAATGTGGGTGGTTAGCTCAGTGGTTTTCATTTTTTTACAAGTATCTCAAAAGTAGAATAGATACTCTACTTGAAATGAACAATGAGAAATAACTGATAAAGACAGTGAGAAATTCAGCAAGCAGTATCAGTATCTACTGATTCAGTCCTCAATGGCATAAATAGCCAGGGCTGAACCAGGAACTCAGTCCAGGCCTCCCACAGTTGGTAGTGAGATCCAAGTATTTCACCTATTACTTGCAGCCTCCCAGAGTGTACATTAACATAAAACTGAAATTTCAAGTGATAGGGACTCAAACCAAGGCTCTCAAATATGTAATGCAAACATCTGTGTTAACTGGTATAGCAAATGCACACCCTTGAAACAGTATTTTTCCTGTCTGTTCATGAACCAGCTGGCTTACAGTTGTCTCAGAATGGGGCTCTCCAATAGCAGGCTAGTTAAGTCACCACAAAATCATGTACTCACCATCTTATCTAGAGAAGCATTAAGTTCAAAGAGTTTAGATGTCATTACTAAGAACTCAAATCAGTCCCATTCTGTTGCCTGCCCTGTTTCATGCAAATTGTCATAGAACTCAGGCTTGTATATGTAGTATTGTTCAAAGCATAACATTTAGAATAAATTGAAATAGGATTAAAGTGGATGTGTTTAAAATACATAGTTTTGTATCTTCTAGAGCCTGCCATTGTGGGTTGTTTTTTAATAGGTCTCAGTCATCACCAGTTCCAGCAGTGAAAAACAAAACCCAACAAACTCAGACTAGTACACTGCACTTACCAGTAAAAAACAGCTATGAAAAAGAGAATGTGATCTCAGGAAGTAGTCCAACAGAATTATCACCTGGCATTTCTGAACCATCCCATTTTGTTCCCTACGTTCGAACAAATGAAATCTACTACCTTGATCCAGATGCACCATTGTCTAGGCCTTCAACACAAAATTCACATGGTGAGTAAATACTCTATTTATTTATTTTGACAGGCAGAGTGGACAGTGAGAGAGAGAGACAGAGAGAAAGGTCTTCCTTTGCCGTTGGTTCACCCTCCAATGGCCGGCGCACCGCGCTGATCCAATGGCAGGAGCCAGGTGCTCCTCCTGGTCTCCCATGGGGTGCAGGGCCCAAGGACTTGGGCCATCCTCCACTGCACTCCTGGGCCATAGCAGAGAGCTGGCCTGGAAGAGGAGCAACCGGGACAGAATCCGGCGCCCCGACCGGGACTAGAACCCGGTGTGCCTGCGCCGCAGGTGGAGGATTAGCCTAGTGAGCCGCGGCGCGGGCCTAAATACTCTTTCAGTAACTGTTCAAGGTCTGAATGCCCTAGACTTAGATCTACTAGTTCCTGCCCTTGTCAGTGTCTTAGCCACGTTTGCCCCAGAAAAGGTGACAAGAATGTGAATGTATTAGCTTTTTTTCCAATGATGATTTCCTAGACAATAACTCATAATGCATCCTTCTTTGACTTTGGTCAATGTGTTCTGGCTTTCAGGCTCCGTGCAAGAACAGCAACTGCTATTTGATGATGACCATGTTCCAGATCCCCTTCTTAATCCTAACTTGGTGAAAAACAGGGATCGACAGCAAGCAATTCTTAAAGGACTTTCAGAACTAAGACAGGTAAGAACTAAATGTGTAGCTGCATCCCAGTTTTTCAGAAAAACCATTTTCATAAATAGTAATATAAAAGCAATTCCAAGGAAAATCCTATCTTGAAGAATTATTTCTTCCCAGTATGAAATTATGAGACACTGTAATAGTAACTTAGTTTTATTGAATAAAAAAATGCATACATTTGAACAGTAAGATAAAAAAGCAACTAAAGGCAGACAAGATATACACAAGTAGGCTTTAATAAAGCTTAGCAGTGCAACCCATGCTTCTTAAAAACGAATGTGTTGGCAGTGTTTAGAACATTGATATCCATCCCAAAGAACATAATTCATCACAGAATTAACAACTGTAATCTTACTCACCAGACTAGTTTTTCTCCTAGACCAATTATTATTATTCTTGAGCTTTTTTAAAAAAAAATAATTTGGAAAATTGGTTCTGCATTTGCTACTGATTTACTGTGTAGCAGTAGTCTCTGTACTTGGGAAAAATTAGGGGTGCTCTTTTCCATGTCCAATTATTTACCAATGCCCGCCGCAACTCTGGTAGCACAGGCAAAGATCTTACATTACAATAACAAAGTGTTTTTACTCCTAGTTTAGTGGGAAAGTAAGATACAGGATACACAGTCACCTATCAATATAGTACCCAGTCTTCTGCAGGATCCTTTTACTAGGCACTAAGGTTACTGTAGTCAAGAAAAATACTAGACAGCATACCACTTTAAGAGCACTTTGGGGAAGAGGGGTTTGCTTTTCCTATAGTTTTTTACAGTGAAAAATACAATCATAAAAATGTGAATGATAAAGTTTAGGCTATAGCCAAGTAGCATTATTAATTCTGTTCTATCCTGAGCTTAATCCATGATGTTTTTCAAACAAACAAAGACAATGCTGATTAAGAATGGAATGTGGGACAGGAAGTTGGTTAAGTCAGCTATATACCTTACTAACACATCAATGTGATTTCAGGGCCTTCTCCAGAAGCAAAAGGAGTTGGAAACTAATCTGATGCCTTTAGCTGCAAATCAAGAAGAGAATTTTAGTTCTTCATTTTAAATGTAGAAAAACCACTTGTGTTGTTGACTTGGAAAATATGCTCATTGCTCAATTCTGTTTCTCAAATAGCCTAGATTTTTTAAATGCTTGTTAAAAACTTGTACATAATGTAGTAAAATGCTGTACTTCTTAAAGATATAATAAAAGTGACACTTTTGTAAAAGCTTCATAGTAAAAAGCAGTTTTTCTCTGTCACAGTCTGGGTATTTTAAGTCCTAAAATCTGATATAATATAAACACTTACCTTAATACAGTCTGATGTTCCTGACCTGTTAAAATACAATGCTCTGCCACACTGTTCCATGTAGATTACCAACTGAAAAGCACTCATGCATTTATTCTCATTACTTGTTTTGAGTTGCCAAAGGTCTACCTATGGTAAGTACTTTGAATTACTGCAATCCTCGAAAACATTTTGAAGCATTAGTAACGGAGAGGCAGTTATCACCAACAGATACAGGTTTGAAATCTATTAAGACCACCTCAAAAACACTTCTGTTTCTCTACATATGTTCCAGATTGGTCAGTGCCTTTGATGAACAAAAAGTAACAAAATCTTCTGACAAAGTTGACCAAAATTTTAGCAAGAGACGGTGTTGTTTATTTAAGTCCCTGTGCGTAGTTAATTATCTGAAACTACACTGCTAGATAAATCTTGAGGTATTGAGCCAAAATTCTGTAAATATCACTGGCTTACACCTGTATAAAAGCACTATACAAAAGCTCAAAATAAATAGTTGATCATTTCAGCAAAAATGTAGCTTCTACCATTTGACATTAAAAGAAAAAGCCACTGCTGTTTATCATCCTACCAGACATTGAATTTTACATAAAAAATATGCTTCAATTTGAAGTCCAAGTATTTGTGATATACAGAAGTAAAACTTAAAAGTGCCAACATGATATAATTCAAGTACAATATATTTTAAAAATATATATATTTATTTCAATTTTCACAACTGTTACAGGCCATCATGATTTAAATAAGACAAAAAAAACATCTGAGAAAGGACAGGAAACCTTTTGTTTAGAGAAGGAAATATAAATTGTTAATCTACTTTTAAGAAACAGAAATAAGTCCACAACAAACTTTTATAAAAAATGTTTCTATAATCATTTGTCTTTTGAATATGGCCTGGAAGAATCACTTTTTCCCCCAACTTATTGGAGATGGAGGTTTATCTCTATCCAAGCTTTGAGTATAAGCAGTTAAAAAGTAATTTTCATTTTCTTGAGACTGAACTGATGAAAGGGCATATGGTATCCCCAAAAATGTCTGATGAGTGAGAACATTAAAATGGCTGAACTGATGGGACAGACTTAATTGACTGTGATAAACCTGAAAGTTGCTATATGAATCTTGCTCTGCTGAATTGCTGTTCTCTCCTCCTGAGCACACTATACCAATAGAAGCGCTCTCTTCAGAATCATTGTGATAAGTCTTCTCTTCTAATAAACTGTTTTGCATGTCAAGAGAGGACTGCAACTGAATTTGAATATTCTGTTTTTGATTTGTTCCACGTGATCCTTTGGTCTCTTGCGCCAATATTTCTGAATGAAAATTGCTGCATACTTCTATTTGTGAGATTTCATCCCCTGAATCCAGAGACATATCCTCTTCATCCTTTTCATCGTTTTCTAAAAGAGCTACATTTAAAAAACAAAAAGTCCTCCTCTATTGAAATACACAATTTGTTTAAGTTTTAAAATTATACACTACTCACACAATATAATGCGTCAGGGTCTGCAAGTCCACAATCCCTTAAAGCTTGGTCTTCTGCCACAAGTTCATTTATTCACAACACTCACACTAGGTGTGAATGTCCAGATAATCCGATGCTAAAAGCTTCTGCGAAATGTGTTCACGTTTAATGTTGGGAAATCCCAACTCCCAGCTCCAAAGGGGTTAATGTCAAAACAGCATCTAAAGTTATACGGTAATTCAGTATTTGACAAGACAAATACAAAATAAAATTTTCGACATCTAGCTTCACTGGATTACTAAACTGGTTCAATCATCTCTGCTTTTCAAAGACAAAAGGATATCTTTCATTTTATATCAAACTGGAACCAAAGCAGAGGCCACCTCACAAAAGACTAAAGCTGTGATAATCCCTACTGTCTTGTAATTAAATTGCCTCATACCTCTGGGGAGATTTAGTCGCCCAATGCTAAATCCTCCCACATCTGTTTTCCTACTTTTTTTTTTTTAATACAACCCCTTTGCTAACAGCAGCTGACACAGCTTCCATACCCTCAGAGAGGAAAATGCGTATGCCATAGTAGGCATAGGCTGTAGTAAAACTCAACAACTTGTATTAGCTACATACAGTTAAATAAATGAGCAGATCTTGTTCATGCTGTGTATTACAAGATGCCTTGAAACACTTCCCCTGAGGCCATTTACACTGAGTTGAGTGGTTTACATAATACAATAACAGCAAAACCATTCCTCTTTCTGTCTGCCTTAAAAAAAAATGAAAACTACTGAAAAGTTACCTGACTGTGACTCAAGGTTTTCATTAGCACCAAGCAGTGGAAAATTTTCTTCTGTGACTGAGTTATGATAGCCCACAAGATTTTTAAAGTTTTGCATAAACTCTTCAGCAGTTGCAACCACTATTCCGTTATCTGTATAACTGGAAGGCATCTTGATGTTCTTGTCTAAGAAAAAAAGTTCATATATAAAACTTGAAAATACAGCATGGACAAATGAGATGCCTGCTTAGCCCTCAGGTAATCTTTTCCCATTTTTCAGAATTAAAGCTTAACAAGAAGCATCCACCGTGGCCCTATAAAATCCTTATACCACATTCCCATAGACATAGTTATTCGCAAGCTTCATAGTTCTCTCTTTACCTGTTAAAAAGATGATATGTCGTTGTTGTATATTCTGAGCCTGAAGTCTGATAAGGCAGTCCAATTCAGGAGCATTTCGAGTTTGTGAATCACAATTATGGTATGACAAAATTTCAACCAGATGTCTTTTCTGATAGACATTCAGAAGTGTCAACAGACTTAGCGCTTTAGCATTCAATCTGTGAAATTAAGCAGTTCAGTATCTGGATCTGCACTTGTAAAAGTTAGTATGGAAATTTCTGCTTCATTAATTTCTCAACTGAGGTAACATATATAACTCAGCTCACTACTTGACGCAGGGTTGCTTATTAGGAAGAACATGAATTTTGTCATCAATATACAAGTCCAGAGATTCCTTGGTGCAAGGCCTGAGGGCCAGTTATTTAGAGCAGGCTAAAATCACTTACAATTATTACCTTTACTAATTTTCAGGCTTCAATGCAGGGCATAGGATTTAAAAAAAAGATATTTTTCCTTGGGGAAAAACATACATGTCTCTAAGCTATTTAAGTTAAAAGGCATAAAGCAACAGTGGTTATTTTAAAATGAGGGTAACAGTAAGTCTGGACAAGTTAAACCTTTGGGTCTCAATACTTCAGGTGTTTGGTATAACAGATTAAGCCACGACTTAAAAAGCCTGAATCCCATATTGGAGTCTGGGTTCAGACCCCAGCTCCACTCTCCATTCCCGTTTCCTGCCCATGTACACCCTGGAAGGCAGCAGGTGATGACTCAGGTCATTAGGTCCCTGCCATTCACACTCGATACCTAGATTCATTTCCAGGTTTCAGCCCGGCCCAACCCTTGCTGTGGTGGCCATTTGCTGAGTGAACCAGAAGATGAGGGAGAAAATTCTGTGGTTTAAAAGATTTTATTTGAACAGCAGAGGGACCAAAGGTGGCTGCAAGAATCCAGGAAACTGGAACTCCATTGGAGTCTCCCATGTGGGTGGCAGGGGCCCAAGTACTGGGTCATCTTCTATTGTTTTCCTAGGTGCATTAGCCAGGAACAGGATTGAAAGTGGAGCAGCCAGGACTCTAACTGGCACTCCAGTATGGGCTGCATGCAGAGGCTTAACCCATTGCACCAACAATGCTGCCCCCAGATATTTTTTAATGTTTTAAAAGCATACCATGGAACGTCAATAGGGGTTACAAGAAATCAAAGTTTGTGCTCTCAAAAGGTTCTCAGACCCTTTAATATGTAAAATACATTTTAGGTAATCTCTGCTGGCTGGATATAGTATCTCAAAAATTTATTTCTGAGGCCAGCAACGTGGCTAGTGAGATAAGCCTCTGCCTGTGGCACCAGCTTCCCATATAGGCACCAGTTCTAGTCCCTGCCACTCCACTTCCAACCCAGCTCTCTGCTATGGTCTGGGAAAGCAGTAAAGATGGTCCAAGAGATTGGGCCCTGTATCCACATGGGAGACCTGGAAGAAGCTCCTAGCTTAAGATCAGGCCAACTTGAGCTGCTGCAGCCATTTGGGGAATGAACCGGCGAACAGAAGACCTGTCTCTCCCTCTGCCTGTAACTCTCACCTCTCAAATTTAAAAAAAAAAAAAGAACTCTAATTACCACAACGGTTCATGAAGACTTTCAAGTGACCAGTGGTCTAAGGATCAAACTTTGAGAACTGATCAGTTCTCAATCAAATATACTTGTATATAAATGAAAACCTTAATTAAAATTCCATTATCAGAAAAAGATTAATCCTTGCCTAAATATCTGATATTAGCTACTTAAAGCAGTCCTCAGTTGAGACAGACTGATCCTAGTTAGCACAAACAATAAAAAGAAATTAAGGATGCCAGTCATTATTTTGCTTATTTTAAATGCATTAAGTAGCAAAGAATAAACTACAAACTGCTTTTGCCTCCACATGTTATTAGAACATCAGCAAGCTTCTACCTAAATAAGAATACCACTTCTTTCCAAAAAGGCTGGAATAACTCAGCATCTCAACTACTGTACAGCTACTTATGGACCTATGTGAAAGCAACAAGGGGAAAAGAAAAATTTTCTGAGCACAACCTGAAATCAGCCATCATAAATTTATTTTCCAAATCTTACCTGCCCAGTTCCTTTAGTTTTTTCTGAAATTTACAGTGGATTTTCCATTGCCATTTTCCTTCTGGAGTACTAAGTTCTTCAAGGAATGTCAAAAAATTTTTAAGGTTCTCTGTTAGAGATAATGAAGTTCATTTTAATCTAACAAGTAGGTCGCTGCACACCTGAATGATGGAGGCAGTTCCTGTCTCTGTATAAATACCTACTACCTTTGTATTATTTTCCTTCTCTTTCCCCTCTGCAACAGAGACTAAACTCTACACATCCCTTAAGTTCTATGAACATAATATCTGCACGTTAAAAACAAACATACAGGGATGGGAAGGGGCGGGTATTGTGGTGTAGCTGCTTAAACTGCTGCTTGCGACACCTGCATCCCATATCAGAAAATGACTGGCATCCCAGCTACTTCCAATCCAGCTTACTGCTAAGGCATCCTGGGAGGCAGCAGATGATGGTTCAAGTGCTTGCGCTCCTGCAACCAAGCGGGAGACCCAGTTGGGAGTTCTGGGCACCTGTCTTGGGCCTAGCCCAGACCTGGCTGTTGCAGGCATTTAGGGAGTGAAACCAGCAGATGGAAGATCTTTCTTTCACTCTGTCACTCCGCCTTAAAACCAGATGAAAATAAAAAACAGAAGAACATTCTGATAACAATGAAAATACCCAAAGTGCAGCAAGTATGGAGAGTGTGGCTTTACACAAGATTTAGTGAAAACAATTTGTAAAGTCTAAGAATGGGAAAGAAATTTGAGGTAATGAAAATTAAAGAAAAGGTGGAAATGCACCATTTATCAAAAATGGCAGAGCAAAAACAGACACTACATCTAAAAAGTATAAGTGGATTATTGGTGTTTTTCTATGTTTTTCCTTAAGAACCTAGGAGAAAAAAACAAGTACGGAAGTTACATGCTCTAAACAAGTTATATGCCTTAAACAAGGCATAAATCTTACCCACTGTGACAACTTCTGGATTTAGAATTGAGTCATCAGAAACAATAAATCCTCCAGATACAAATAATTCGTTGTATGTATGATTTTTTACATCATCCAGGCTATCAACGCCAGCAAAACTAACACAGGGGAGCTTCTTTAAAGTCACTAAGCCAGGTACCTGTATAAATACCAAAATAAGTAGACTCAAGTGTGAAGTAACTGTAAAAACAAGTCCAACAAAATCAGTAAGGCTCATCTATATTAGTGAATCACATCTGAATGGCTCACACAAAAATATTCCCAACATTATTTCCACAACATAGACCAACATTCAAGTACTGGGGCCTCCCATGCAAACACACAAGAAAACGAGTCATAAATAGACTTGAAAACACAAAATGGACAAATTTTAAACTTAATCATCTGTAACTTGTAATTACAATCAGAATTCAGATTTGATCTATCAATCAGAATTGGATAGTCATTTCATAGTAGTGAATAAGAGACAATACAGAGTTAGCAGATTTGCTGGCATTCTAGGATTTGGTACTTCCACTGGTTCTATTTCAGAGAAATGACAGACCTAAAACATGCAGCAGTTTTAAATTTTACAGTGACAGAAACCTAAATGCCACAGCTGATTCCTGCAAGAGTTTCTGTCATTTTCTCTTTAAAGTTTAAGAGTTTTTAAAAACCAAAATAGTGAATTTGATTAAAGAATCACCTTGTGAATGAAGTCTGCAATGTCTTCATTTTGAATAATAATCAACAGTTTATCTAACTGTGATCTTCTTTCCAAAAACTGTTCTGGATGACATTCAGTATTACCTAACTTGGTAAGATATTCCTGTTAAAGGAAAGCAACTAAATCAGCACAAAAAATAATCTTTGCAAACATCAACTTAAAAATGCAAGATAAAGTAACATGTTAAACAACTACTAAGACACTGTTAACTATGAACTTACACTCTAGAAGACTTTGAAGGTCAGCTAACCCACTCTAACAGGAGTCTCAAAGTGAGGGCTTCACCAGTTACAGTCACAATGTTGAACAGTATGCAATTAAAGCCAAGTAAAATGCCAGTGTGAGGTAATACAATCGTTTATTCCAGGTTCTTCATTCAGCTCCATTAGTCATTAAAATCATTAATCAGACCCTCTTTCCTTTCCTTAAGCAGGCCCTTGGCTAACTGCAATAATATTACCAGGATACTACTTCAAGTTACAAAGCACTATAACAATGACTATGTAGCTCACTTAATTCACAACAGCTTAAAAAACATACATTTAGAACTTTACTATGTACAATGGTATTTGCACACTAGTCATTCCTGTCAAGTTTACATGTTTAAGCAAAGTAGATTCATGCATTAATACCTCCCTCTGTGCTGGTGACATGGTTCTAGTTATCACAGGGCATAGGTATTAAGTCCATGCAGAGTTACCTTTGCTTGCCAGCGAAATTCGGAACCCTCACTGTTAAGATCCCAAGGGTCACACTGCTCATTGCAGATAGATTTTCTCAAGGTCAACACAAGTATTCAGCAATAATCAACCCCCGGCCTCCCTGACAACCAGCTTACTATCCCTTAAGAGCTGCCCAGAGTAATACAGACTGCAACTAAAGCAGCATCTCTTACACTCACTTTGCTCTGAGCCCTCAAGCTTCTGGGCACATCTCAGACAAGCTTAGTCAATTAATGAAAGCATGAATTACTAATAGGCCTGCTGTGAGTTCAGCCTGTATTATTACATTAAGAAGATTTAAGCACAAATTTATTTTAGGTAAGGTGGTTTAATTAGCACAGTAATATCAGCTTGAATCCAGAAATACTTAGGAACTTTAAATTTTTCTTCATATTCTTCTAGTCTACCATAACATTTTTACTAGAAAATTCCTAATGAATATTAGTATCAGATTTGTGAGAAAGCAAGCAGAGTTAACATAAATGACACAGACAGGCCTTGTTTTATGCCAGAATGAATTAAAAGCATCACTCATGAGGAAATACATTTCCTATTTCTTCAAGATGAATATGACATCAGTATGTTACAATCCACTATTAAAAAAAAAAAAAAAAAAAGCCAGCACTGTGGCTCAATAGGCTAATCCTCCGCCTTGTGGCGCCGGCACACGGGGTTCTAGTCCCGGTCGGGGCGCCGGATTCTGTCCCAGTTGCCCTCTTCCAGGCCAGCTCTCTGCTGTGGCCAGGGAGTGCAGTGGAGGATGGCCCAAGTGCTTGGGCCCTGCACCCCATGGGAGACCAGGATGAGCACCTGGCTCCTGCCATTGGATCAGTGTGGTGCGCCGGCTGCGGTGGCCATTGGAGGGTGAACCAACGGCAAAGGAAGACCTTTCTCTCTGTCTCTCTCACTGTCCACTCTGCCTGTCCAAAAAAAAAAAAAAAAAAAAAAAGGACAAAGGGAGGTGAATTGGGCTGATCACCATGGGAAATGTACCCAACCTATTCTTTATTCCAGCCCCAAAGCAACAGGCAGCTATGTCCTAATAAGTACATTGCTTGAGAACATCTTGCTGGGAGTAGGAAAAAAACTGAGAAGCCCTACATTCAATGACATATAGCAAAAATCCAACTATGGAATTCCTGTCATTAAGTAATCAGTAAGAAAAACACAACCAAGTACTCTCATGCCCCTTTCATTTCCTTGCTCTCCACATCACATGACATCACACTAAACATGCTGGTTTCTGGGCCACCCTTGGCTCTGAGCCACTTACTTTTATATAGCTCCTCTGCTTACCCTAACAATATAGGCAGAAACTGAGTCATGGTAAGTAAATTCCATAGGTGAGAGTAGGCTTTTACCTCAAAATTAGGCATTCCTTTAGGAAATTAAAATCCTAATGAGGACTAATTACTAGTATTAAAACACTGATGTAATTGTTCTAATGTGTTATCATTTACAAACCTGTGAACCAATTTTACACATCTACATATACACACATGCCTATGAATTTTCTTTCAAAAAACAAATACCTAAAATATTAGTCTACAGCTTCAATTTAAAACAACCACCACCTTCACATGAGAGATCTTTCATGACTGAAGACTCTAAGGATCACCAATGTTTTTTGATCAATAAGGGTTGTAGGGAATCAATACATACCCAGGGTATCAAGAAATGTCAAGATGTGTGATCAGGCCATCCATGCAAAGTTTTTCCCTTTTGACCAAACTTCCTGTGAGATATATACTGGCAACTTAATTTACCCCTCTGTATTTCCCTTCCCATTCCTTACAAACCCAACTACAGGACAGGAATTTGGTGCAGCAGTTAAGACCCAGAATCTCAAATGGAGTGCTTGTTTAGAGTCTCAGGTCTGCATCCTTTCCAGCTTCCTGTTAATGTGCAGCTTGGTAATCAGCAGCTGATGGTTAAATACTTGGGTCCCTGCCACCCACACAGGAGACAGGCCCAGCAATGGCTGTTCTAAGTATCTGGAGAGTGAACTAGTGGACAGAAGACATATGCCTCTTTGTCTTTGCCTTTCAAATAAAATGGGAGGTGGGGGGAATAACATTTAATACCCCTGAGCAACAACTTAAAGGAATTTGCAACGTGTATAGAAATATTCTTTAACTCATTATGTCCCATAATTCTACACACAGGACACCTATAAAGACTTAAATTGAGCTACTTATGGTAACTGAAATAAATACTGAGACGGAAATATCATGGAATTGAAAACCTGGGACTTAATGGGTTAAAATTAACTAGCAACCAAAATTCTAAATTCTCAAATATTTAGATCACATGTCCTAAATTTAGCTTACCAGTCTTCTATTGTTATATATGATTAAATTACAAAAATGCATTATCAGTGTTTGGAAACAAAACTGATTATATACAGGTCAGACCAACAAGACAAGTTTATAGAGCATTACTGTTACCTTCTCATTTAGTTACCTTTATTTCTTTACAGAGCACACTCTCCTCTTCTTCATGAATATAAAATTTCACAGTATTTTTCTGGACATCTTTCATGATTTTAACCAAACTATTAAATACTTCAGGTTCTAACTGGCTTATAAAATTTGACAGAGCTGGTTGGGCAGAAATGTTTACATCACTGGGTGATTTTGCGGTTTCTTTTTCTACTGGTTCCCGGGCAATATCACCAGGTACAGTATGATCAGAAGTCATCGTTAACTCTGTAGCATGGTGTGGCTGGTTCATTTCTACTTCAGTTAAACTCAAAGTCGAAGAGGAATGCTGTTCATTAGAGTTGGTGTCTTTCAAAGCATCACTAAAAAGTGGCTCAAGAAGGTGTTTACTGTTGAAGTCACTTGAGGATGCTGGTATGACAGGCCTTCCCAAAGGATTCAAGGCTATCTTAGTACCAGAATCATTAGGACTGACTGGTGGCAAATTCCCACCCTTGGCTGATGCTTTAATAATAATGGTATTTAGTTTCTCATGCAAGCCATCTACAAACTCCTGTACACCAGCTTTGGAAGTCTTAGAATATATGAACTCAGAAAGCCGTTTCATCTTCTCTTGTGTTGAAAAGATTGGTGTGGAAATTCTGCTAACATATGAAACATTCTTTTGCTTCAAAATCTCTTCTATCTTCCTAGAAAAGAGATTGTACTCTCCTAACACTGTTCTCTCTGTGGTTTCGCTCACTGCAGGCGGCTCTGCTGCTGGCACACACTGCTCCTCCACTGTCACCACCTGACCTGTCAACGCGTCATCCTCAGTGGTGCTCTTACGTGTGTCTGTAAATGGAGAGGATGGAAACTGGTAATCAGAACTTCTCTGTCTACTTATTACCCGAGGGTCGTTAGGAAAGGTCTCCTGCGGTGGCAGACACACCAGTTGTTCTTCTGGTGATTTCATACCTATACAAGGAGAGTTCATTATCATAAGAACAATCCAGAAAGATAATATCTGAAAACACACATCCTTCAATCAAAGGCACGAAAAAAGGTCAAAAATATATGTAGGTCCTCTCTCTCTGCAATCTTTAAAGATACATACATTTAGAACTAATTATGCACCGGAAGGTAAAATAAAAACCTTAACTATCAGTTTGGTTTCTAATTTCCAATGTACTCTACTTATAGGCTGGTCTTCGGATTTCAGTAGGCAAAGTAACAACACTGAGTGTCTTTTTTTTAATACTTCTTAAATTTATTTTTATTTTATTTGACAGGCAGAGAGATGGAGAGAGGAGTATCTTCTACCTGCCGTCCACTCCCCCAAGTGACTGTAACAGTGACGGCAGGGCCAGGCTTAAGCCAGAAGTCCAGAACGCAATTTGGGACTCTCATGTAGGTGAAAAAAGGACCAAGTCTCTGAGCCATCATCGTTTACATCCTAGTATGTGCATTAGCAAGAAACTGGATTAGAAGTGCAGGAACTGGGACTCCAATCAAGCACTCTGAAGGGGGATACAGGCATCCCAAATGATGACTTAACTACTGCACCAAATGCCCACCCCTTGAATGTTATCTTCTTTGCTTTCTTCTGAGGTCTTCAAACAATTACCAATTCCTTATCAGTAGAAATTCAGATCACTGATGAGTTGCTGCTGTAGTGTAGAAAATGGTACTTCTAAATCACAAAGTCTGAGTCCAGGTAGAATTCCCTATTCAATTTGTATTAAGTACATATAGCAGTTTGACCTCTATGATTTTCCCCACACTCACATTTCTATATAGTTCTAAGTAGCCTAGCAGCAGTTAGCTTGTGACATCGTCTACTAATTCTAGCAGTTACTAAGGACCATTACACTCATTAACTGCTGCGAAGGCACTCATGAATAGATAAAACCATAGTAGGTCCATACGTGGAAGTGAGGAAGGGGAGTGAAATGCCAAATGTGTCAGTATAAGAATTATAACAGGGGCCGGTGCAGTGTCCCAGTAGGTTAATCCTCCACCTGCAGCGCCAGAACCCCACTGGTTCTAGTCCCAGCTGCTCCTCTTCTGATCCAGCTCTTTGCTGTAGCCTTGGAGGGCAGTGGAGGATGGTCCAGATCCTTGGGCCCCTGCACCCACATGGGAGACCAGGAGGAGGTACCTGGCTCCTAGCTCCGGATCAGCACGCTCCGGCCATTGCGGCCATTTGGGGAGTGAACCAACGGACAGAGGACCTTTCCGTCTCCCTCTCACTGTCCGTAACTCTACCTCTCAAGTAAATAAATAAAATCTTTAAAAAAAAAATTAAAACAGTATGAAACTGACAAATCAGAAAATCTGAGTTCTATAAAATGACAGAGGAACACAATATCCTGAATATGTCTTAAATCTGCAGTATTAAAATGCAATTTACAAGTAAGTATTTGACCTAGTGGTTAAGATACCAAACCGGGGGTAGGCATTTGTCACATGGGTTAAGATGCCACCTGGAATGTCTACATCTCATACTGAAGTGCCTTGGTTCGTGTTCCAATTCCAGCTTCCTGATAATGCACACTCTGAGAAGCAGCAGGTGATGGCAAACGTACTGGATCCCTGCCACCCATATGGGTCCGTAGCTCTCAGTTTTAAGTCTAGCCCAGGCGCAAATGTTGTAGGAATTTGAGGTCTGAACCAGTAGGTGACAGCTTTATCTCATAAACAAGTAATGTTTTTTAAAATGGGGTTCAGTGTAGTATACAATGTGTGAAATAGTCCAATACATTGTTAAGTGATTGATCCTCAGGGTGGGGAGGAAACTTAGTGTCTGCAGTTAGGGGTGGACAGCTTACTTTCTCAAGCATTTTTATTCTTCTTAAATGATGTATAATGTCAAATATATGACTTATTAAATGGAAAGAAATCTGAAACACAAAGAACAGGGAGTACTACCTATAAGTTTTAAACTTTTAAATTATTCATTACTCTAAATGAATTATTTGCTCCCCAAATTTAAAGTATCAGACCAATAGGCTTATTTCTGATGGGCCATGGATGAAGGATCTTTTTTTTAATCTGATACATAACTTAAATCCATATGAAGAACTTTCCATATTTAAAACCTCTAAATCACAGGGCAGTTGTGCAGCCTGGCAATTAAAATGACAGTCAGATGCCCACGTCCCACATCACAGTACCCTGCTAAGTAGCTCTGGCTCCTGATTCCAGTTTCCTTCTCAAGTGGAGCTCATGAGGCAGCTGATGACTCACACAGTTAGGTCCCTGTCACTCACTTAAGAGTTCTGGATTGGTTTCCAAGCTTCTAATTTTGGCCAGGCCTAGCTCCAGCCATTGCAGGCATTTGGGAGTTTACCAGTAGATGGGAATTCTGTTTTTCTGCCTCTCAAATAAAAGTTAAAAAAATAAAATAGAACAGAACCACAAAACCCGGAACCATCTAAATCCCTTTTGCACAAATATCTCTATGATTTTAAGATCAATCATTTTGAGGGCCAGCATGGTGGCGCAGCAGGTTAAAGCCCTGGCCTAAAGCGCCGGCATCCCACATGGGCACCGGTTCTAGTCCTGGCTGCTCCTCTTCCAATCCAGCTCTCTGTTGTGGCCTGGGAATCCAGTAAAGGATGGCCCCAGTCCTTGGGTCCCTGCACCCACATGGAATATCCGGAGGAAGCTCCTGGCTCCAAGCTTCAGATTGGCACAGCTCCAGCCGTTGCAGCCATCTGGGGAGTGAGCCAGCAGATGGAAGACTTCTCTGTCCTACCTCTATCTGTAACTCTGTCTTTCAAATAAATAAAATAAATCTTAAAAAAAAAAAAAAAACTCAGATTAGCAGTTGCCTGTTAGAAACAGGGCGAGGGGTAGGCGCTGCAGCGTAGCAGGTAAAGCTGCCATCTGCAGTGCCAACTTCCCATATGGGTGCAGGTTTGAGTCCCAGTTGTTCCACTACCGATGCAGCTCTTTGCTATGGCCTGGGAAAGCAATATAAGAGGACCCTAGTCCTCGGGCCCCTGCACCCACATAGGAGACCTGGAAGAATCTCCAGGTTCCTGGCTTCGGATTGACCCAGCTCCACTGTTGCAGCCATTGGAGGAATGAACTAGAGGAAGGAAGACCTCTCTCTCTCTCTCTCTGCCTCTGTAACTATGCCTTTCAAATAAATAAAAAATAAAATCTTAAAAAAAAAGTGGGGGGGAGAGTACTGACTGGAATGATGCACAGGACAAACTTATGAGGTTTCCGAACTGTTCTACATAGATTTGGGTGGGGGGCTCAAGGGCATACATGTAAAGTTTCAACAAACTACAGTAAGGATCTGTGCACTTTCCAATGTTATTTATCTGCCTTTTTTTTTTCTTTAAATCATCCTTCCTAGGAGGAAACAAAGGCTTTCTTGAAGAAAATTACTAAAGTTTGTTTCTCTAATTCCCAAAGAAAATGAATCTACTAAGAAATTCATTTAGATTTATTTCCCAATTTAAAAAAAAGCACTTAGATTTACCAAAGAATAAGATACAATGAAATGCAAACAGTGAAAAAGACCACCATCAAACTAGCAGAAGGAAACTGGCTGCATTCACACAAAGGAACTCTCTCCTAGGCAAGCACTGCAACTACCGGCAGTTATCTCTGTTTCTGGAATCTACAAGTTTCTTAATCTCTCATTTAAACCTCTGGAAATTAACTTTATAATTAGAAGGGAAAGAGAACTGGGTTAAAAAACTCAAGAAGCCTAAGAACAGTGTATTTAAAAGATAAATGATTTTACCTCTTGGTCTTTCTTAAACTTAAAAGAAACCTGAAGACTATTTCTGTTAGGATATCCTACAAAAAAAGATTAGGATAATATCCTGTCTTCTCAACTCATCAGATAGTCTACAATAGGGAAAGAGAACTTAATCTCTATGAATATCTTGTGTGACATTTGGATTAAATCTATTTGATACAACTCAATGGTTTAAATATAAATGTGGTATTTTCAAAATGCTATGAAAACAGCAGAACTTAAATCAACACCCTAGTGATAGAGAATTAGAAATTCAAATAGAAATGCTGAAAGGAACAGTGGGAGGAAAAGCAAAGGGAGCCTTCTCACCTGATGTTTGTTTCTCACCGTGTTTCCCCTGCTGGTCTTCTGGGCTTCTTGAATTCCCTCCTGAGGGAAAGCATCCATTAGATTTGTAGACTCTCCTCAGACATCAGCAATACCTATTAAGCAACTTCCAGACAACCTCAAATGCTAACAAATAGTAACATTTCCTTCCATCCCCCAAAATAATTCTGAAGGGTCATTCAAAAATGTAAAGTTGCTTTTCTTACCATTCAGGCGATGATGGAATATCATAGATGCACCTTCAAATTTGGGCTTTCAAAACCCAGTATGAAGGTGTCTAAACAAAGAAGGGCTGGGATAATCTTCCATCAACCACTTCCTTACAGTGTTCCTCCCACTCAAGTCAAGGACTCAAGCTCAGAAAAGAGAGTTAGTTTCCTCTCCATCATCACCTCCAGGTCTCTTGCTCAGAGAATGATGGGGCCGACACAATGGCGCAGTAGGTTAATCCTACGCCTGCGGCACCGGCATCTCATATGGGTGCCGGTTCTAGTTCCAGGTGCTCCTCTTCCAATCCAGCTCTGGGCTGTGGCCTGGGAAAACAGTACAAGATGGCCTAGGTCCTTGGGCCCCTGCACCCACATAGGAGACCAGGAAAAAGCACCTGGCTCCTGGCTTCGGATCGGCATAGCTCCAGCCATTGTGGCTATTTGGGGAGTGAACCACTGGAAGGAAGACCTTTCTCTCTGTCTCTGACTGTAACTTGACCTCTCAAATAAATAAAATCTTGAAAAAAAAAAAAAAAAAAGGTAGAGAATGATGCAGAAGCCAATGGAAACTCATCAAGTTTTACAAATTCTTCTCAGAGTCCTTGGTGTCCTCAGTAGGTTCTAGGTTGTAAGCCAGTCCATCATTTTAAGCAAAAAGTTGTTTGACTTTTTAAAGATTAAAAAAAGACCTAGGAATGGCAATGATATGCCTTGGAAATATTTCCAAAATGGTTAGCTAACAAAGATGACTAAGAACTTGTGTTTGCTCCAAGAAATGAGAATTCTCCAAAATGATACCTTTCAACATTTGCTCAACTATTCTTGTCCCATGGTTCAATTAAGCTTTCCTAGGATATTTGCATTTGATAACTTTTTTTTTTCATTTGACAGGTAGAGTTATAGACACAGAGAGATAGACAGGGAGGACAGAGAGAAAGGTCTTCCTTCTGTTGCTTCACCCCTCAAATGGCTGCTATGGCTGGAGCTACACCGATCCGAAGCCAGGAGCCAGGTGCTTCTTCGTGGTCTCCCATGCGCATGCAGGGGCCCAAGCATTTGGGCCATCCTCCACTGCCTTCCCGGGCCACAGCAGAGAGCTGGACTGGAAGAGGAGCAACTAGAACTAGAACCCAGCACCCATATTGGATGCCAGCGCCACAGGCGGAGGATTAACCAAGTGAGCCACGGCGCCGGCCCCCTGCATTCGATAACTTAAAGATAATCAAATATAAGAGATCAAATTTCTTTCAAATAGTTGAACTTCAACATGACTACATAAAGACACCATTTAACTGGCTGCTCAAAGAGCAACATTTCATCTCTGTAACAGATACTTGCTGATGCTGACAAGAGCAACATTTAGTGACGAACACTGTATGGTTCAAAAGAAGATACTGAAGATTTCAGAAGCAGCTACAATCAAGCATCTAGTGATTCAGGAGTAGACTCTAGAAGATGAAATCCTCAGGAAACTGGTCCCAAGGTAAAACAAGGCAAACCTAAAGCCTGGTGCATTTGTTCTTACCTGTAATTGGAATCAGTTTCCAATGTATTTCAGTCTCCTCAACATCATCTGATTTCAATGACTGTTTACAGAATCCATGTTCAAAAGGAATAGTGGGACACAAACTGCAATCTTCAAAATTATTCATGCTAATTATATTTGGATCCTAAAAATTAAGGTACACATTCAATAGCTTTCTTTCCAAATAATTTTAGGGTCAAGAATAAATAATAGTTTTTTTCACAGTAAATTCACTATCTTTCATCTAAACATCACAGTTTAGTAAAACCAACATGGTAACATGACAATAATCTCAAAATTAAAACAGAATTTCTCCCTTCCGAACTTAATCAGATGTGGATTTAGAACAGAGATCAGTAAACATTTATAGTGAAATACCACACAGTAAATATTTTAGGATCTGTGGGCCACTCAACTCTGCCAATGTAGTGCAAAATCAGTAATAGTCAATAGCTAAAGGAATGGAAACAGCTATTACAGTGAAACTTAATAAAAACAGGAAGCAGACAGTGTTTGGCCAATTTAGAGTATTGGGTACATTTGGAAATATTACGGTTGTGGGCTGCAACCTTACTACTTCCCTACCATGCTATTCTGTCTTCTACGAATGCTAAAACCATCTATTAACAATAATCCCTTTCTGAATCCCTTTCTGACAAATAAGTTGCCCAGCCTTACCATTATCACAACAGAAAAACCTTAACAACAACTTTGATTTTTATCTCTTTTTAATAAGGAAAAACTTACAAGTACCACTTCAGATAAACACCTTTACTCCAAAGTTTTATTTTTTCCTGAAAAGAAAAACCACTCCCTGAAGCATAACCACATCCTCTCTTTTCACACACACAAAAACAAACCAAGACAATGAAGAAACAGAGGCTTACTTCTTTCAAATGTAGCTTATGCTCTGTGCCTACTTCACTGGAACAAACAGAGACAGGATACTTTAAAGATGCTTTATCAACTTCTAGCAATGGGCTCTGAGTGGCCTTAAAATGTACATTTTCAATTTTCGTACAAGTAGGGTGCTCATATTCTTTCTTATCTGGTGTAGAACTCAACTCATACTCATGCCTCAGCTCTTCATAGGCAGCATCAGTGCTCAGTCCTAAGGCTTTGTTGACTGTGTCTGTCAGGGATGCATCAGAATGGCGTGCATTTGCTAGTGTTTCTGACAGCCAATTAAACAGCCTATGGATGTCAGTGCCAGAGTTACAGGTATCCTGCTGCTGCTGTCTCACGTCAGCATCATGCCCAAGAGAGCTAACAGGCTGGGAAGACTCTGAGAAAAAAATAAAGAAAAGTCATCTCTTGAAGTTAAGTTTGAAAGCCTACATAAAAACATTAAAAATCACATATACCTTAGAAGTTAATTACTATAAGACATTTAGGGTAGCAACTCCAGCAGCTGGCTTACATTTTATATCTAAACCCACCCTGTGCTGCACAAATGTAATTCTTTCCACAATTTTGCACATGTGTAGGTACTTGGCACACTGTCCCATACTGAAGTGCCTGGTTTGAGTCCTGGTTCTTCTCTCCATTCCAGCTTCCTGCTAACATGCACCTTGGAAGGGGCAGGTGATGCTTTTCAAGTAGCTGGGTCCCCACCACCACCCACATGAAAGACCCAGACTCAGTTTCTGCCTTGACTTCAACCTGGCCCAACCTAGCCCTGGATGTTGCAAGCATTTGGAGAATTAACCAGGGGATGGAGATCTGTTTTTCTCTATGCCTCTCAAATAAAAAAATAAAATTTTACACACAGACCAAAATTCTTAATTTTTGTATAATTTAAGCATCCTATTAATAGATGAGCTCATGCACAAAGTTATAGATAAGTGTAAGTTGTAAATAAGTATTATTGTAGTCACCTTAAACTACCACTAAAATCTCAAAATCAACCAGATGTTTGACAACAAATGAAACATTTGCACTTAGCTCTTTTGCCAATTGTTAGAAAAGGTACACAAATTATGCTTAAATTCACAGAAAAAGCATGATCTTGATTTCTATCATCTTCATACTTATGCTGTGTCTTTAAGGCTAGCATTCTTAAAACCTAAGCCTTATCTATTACTTAAATTCATAGTGAAGCTAGGATGTAGAGATATTAGAGAAATCTCTACTAAACATGACCTAAGATATTAAACTTTATGGGAAAAAATCAATGAAAATCTATTTGCTGCTCTATGCTAAGAAAAAAAGTACTATACAAGAAAACACTGCTCCAAGCAGTCTGAAATCTGCAAAGTCAGTACAATCAATATTTATATATATATATATTTTTTAAAGATTTATTTATTCAAAAGTCAGAGTTACACAGAGAGAGGAGAGGTAGAGAGAGAGAGATCTTCCATCTAATGGAAATGTGGCCATTTGGGGAATGAGCAAGCAGATGGTAGACCGCCTTCCTCCCTCGCTCCCTCCCTCCCTCTCTCACTCTCTCCCCTCCTCTTTCTCCTCCTCCTCCTCTCTCTTTGTAATTTTGACTTTCAAAAAAATAAATAAATCTTTAAAAAAATAAATAAAAAAATAAAATGGGTATACTGTATATAAATTATACCTCAAAAATGATGATGTTAAGTTAACAAGGGGTGAGGGACTAGGAACTTACCACTTATAAAATGGGTAGGCTTACCACCACCCAAGATTGGTTTGTTTTCTTTGTTTTGTTTTGTTTTTTGGTTTAAGTTCAAGGTTTTTAAAAGTCAAGATTCATCCTTGAAACCTTTACTTTCAAAAATAAGTGTACAAAATGACTAAGAAACAAGAAAGAACCACCCAGAATTCAAATCTGGTAGTTAATAGTTCTACTTTAACCTAACTTCTTTCTCTGCCCCATTTCTCCCTTGGTCTATTGTAATTAGATTGCTTTTCTACCTTTTTAATTATTAATGAAAACTACTTTTCACCCACCCACAACTTTTCCACATACACCTAAGCATTCATTTACCAGCTAAAGAAACACCAAAAATATAATTATCTTATTTACTCAATGCCTATTGTATGCTTAGCACTAAGAAATACAGCAGTTTAGGAACGAGGCTTTGGAATCAGAACAAGTCATGGATTTTGCCACTAACTTCCTAACTTTCAGTAAAGTTACTTAGTTTGTCTGAGACAATCTTCTCATCTATAAAACGAGAATAACGCCTAACACTTAAAGAACTTACATATAGATATATATAGATATAAAGCCTACTCTCCAGACATAAGTCACAGCCTCAGACAGCATGTATCAAAAAGCATCTACAGGAACTGCACAGATCACAGATTCAGCATAAGTGGAAGCAGACAAGACCACTAAGAAACAGAACAGCCAGAAAGCTTAAAGATTTGACCTGCAGACATAATACTTGAGAGAAACGAAAGGACTTCAGAAAAAAAGAAAGGGAAGAACTGACCATGACATATCCAAGGGAGAAATATGAGCTTTAACCAAAGAGCACGTGAAAGAGTGGAAAACATAGCTGGACACAGCCAGTATGCAACAAATCGTTGTGGTTTTTTTTTTTTTTTGATAGGCAGATTTAGACAGAGAGAAAGGTCTTCCTTTCCATTGGTTCACTCCCCAAATGGCTGCTAAGGCCGGCATGCCACGCCAATCTGAAGCCGGGAGCCAGGTGCCTCCTCCTGGTCTCCCATGGGGGTGCAGGGCCCAAGCACTTGGGACATCCTCCACTGCCTTCTCGGGCCACAGCAGAGAGCTGGACTGGAAGAGGAGCAACCGGGACAGAACCAGCGCCCCAACCTGGACTAGAACCCAGGGTGCTGGCGCCGCAGGCAGAGGATTAGCCTAGTGAACAGCGGCGCCGGCCACAAATCGTTCTTTAAAAGGCCAAGTTCTGCAAGATAAGATTGGTAGCAAATAATAAAATATTGAAAATGACACATTACTGAAATGTGTGAAATAAATAAGCCACAAAGGCCACTAAGAAGACAAGAACATGGATAAGAAAAAAAATACTAGAAAGAGCCATAGGTCAACTAAACACCCAGAATTATTGCAGACAACAGCACTGTTAGAACTTTCTGTGATGTTAGAAATGCCTACTACCTGTACTGTCTACAACAGTCGTGTGGCTGCCGAGATGTATTTTTATTTCATCCTAATTTAAGTAACAACACATAGTAGTGGTTATTACATACTCGGTAGCACAATAAAGGAGGTAAAGAACAGAAAAGTGAGGATGCAAATACAGACTGCCAAGGGAACAAAACTGCAATAAGGACATTGATCTCTCTAATGCAGTCAGAAACAATGCATCTGAAAAGACGGGTAAATTTTTCAGTAGGGAATAAAGAATATTCAGATCTGCCACAATCAAAGTAGTGGCAACAGGGGCTAGCATTGTGGTGCAGCGGTTCATGTTGCTACCTGTGATGACACAGCATCCCATCTAGGTGCTGGGTCGAGTCCTGGCTGCTCTGCTTCCAACCCAGCTCCCTGTTAATGTTTTTCGGAAAGCAGCAGGAGATGGTCTAAATACTTGGGCTCCTTCACCTAGTTGGGAGACCCAGGTGAGGCTTCTAGCTTTGGCATCACCCAGGCATGGCCACTGATGCCATTTTAACCAACACATGGGAGATCTCTCTCCCTGTCTCCCTCTCTCTCACTAACTCTACCTTGCAAATAATTAGGTAAATCTTTATAAAAAAAAAAAAAACAAAAACAAAAAAAACAAAAACAAAAAAAAAAAACAACTAGTGGCAGCAATCCAAAACAGATTTTTCTGTCAATGGTCCATGAATGCAAAAGAACGAATTTCATGCTTATGGACCAGCATGTCAATCTCTGAAAAATCTAGATAACAAAAATGTTTGAACTGGCCGGTGCCACGTCACAATAAGCTAATCCTCTGCCTGCGGCGCCGGCACCCCGGGTTCTAGTCCCGGTCGGGGCGCTGGATTCTGTCCCAGTTGCTCCTCTTCTGGTCCAGCTCTCTGCTGTGTCCCAGGAAGGCAGTGGAGGATGGCCCAAGTGCTTGGGCCCTGCACCCACATGGGAGACCAGGGGGAGGCACCTGGCTCCTGGCTTCGGATCAGCGCAGCACGCCGGCCTTAGCGGCCATTCTGGGGGTGAACCAACGGAAGGAAGACCTTTCTCTGTCTCTCTCACTAACTCTGCCTGGAAAAAAAAAAAAGGTTTGAACTTATAATACTGAAACACTTAAAACAAAAGTCTCCAATTTCTGTCAACTAAAAGGTTCCTTTCATTAAACAACATCCTTAAAGAACCCACTACTCTACTGGTGCATTTCTCCAATATGGACATAAAGTACAAGAACTCTTGTTAGAGTAATAGCTCTGGGTACTTAATTTTGTCATGTTAGCTTAAACCAAACAACTCAGAAATCTGATGTACCGCAGTAGGAGTTGGCCCATGTTTTCTGTACTAGACCAGCTAATAAATATTTCAAGCTTCATGGGCCATACAGCCTGTCTCTATGCTCTATCATTTCTGTGTGAAAAGCAGCTATGTACACATAAATTAAGTGGCATGACTGCATTGTGAAAATGGGACAGTCTAGATTTGGCACTCACACTTCAATCTGCAGATCCCTATATTATAGGAAGAAACAGAACTATTTCACTGTACTTTTGTTTGTTGTTAAAAAAGCAATCTTGATATTTTACCTTCATACAGATGGTAACTTTCAGATAAATTACTGGTTTTGGCAAGTTTTCTCATATGTTCAGGTAGATCCTCAAGTTTCCTCTTCAAGACAGTTTTGCTTCTCATATCTTCTGTATCTGAGTCCCCACCCACATTCTTTTTCCTGCACTGAATTAAGTTAATCAATTCTTTGACTCTATCTTTATCATAATCCAAAGAATGAGATGACTTTTGCTTCCCAGGTATAATAGTTTCACCCCTTGAGCTATTTCGTTTTCTAAATTTCAGTCTTGTACCATTCATTTCTTCTTCTTGACCTTCATAATCTGAAAGTGGACTAAATTGTTGAAGTTTTCTATTTTCTTCAAATAAATCTTTTAATTTGCAAATAGGTAACTGATACATTTCAGGACGAAAAATATAAGTATGCAAACAATTATCAATATGGGATTTATTTTTTGGAGCTGAGTATAAGAATTTTTTATCATCTAATTTTGAATCATATGGAAACATGATAAACTCTCGTTTACCTGAACCAAAACCTCGCTTAAAAAATTCACTTACATACTTTTCAACAACAGAATGAAAATTTATAGTGTTTATATTTTTGAATTCCTTTCGACACTGAATCAAAAAAAACTGTAAAAATTGGGCTATTTTTAATACACCTGGCATGCTCTCATGCCTCTCTTGTGGTGCTGCACTGGTTGTAACTTTTTGTGCTGTAAATAAACAAAAGCAAACCACGTTAGCAATCAAGAAACTCATCAAATACAGATCTACATATTACCAAATTGTGACATTTTACTCATAATTGGGAACAAGTTGTACCATACTACACATACATGTTACGCAGCAAATAGGAATAGCATATTTCTTAAGTCTAGGACCTAAAACAGGTTCATAAGAAACTAAAACCAATGAAAGAGCAGAACACGTTTTTAAAGGAAAAAACATCCATTCTGGCCGGCGCCGCGGCTCACTAGACTAATCCTCCGCCTTGCGGCGCCGGCACACGGGGTTCGAGTCCCGGTCAGGGCGCCGGATTCTGTCCTGGTTGCCCCTCTTCCAGGCCAGCTCTCTGCTATGGCCCGGGAGTGCAGTGGAGGATGGCCCAAGTCCTTGGGCCCTGCACCTGCATGGGAGACCAGGAGAAGCACCTGGCTCCTGCCTTTGGATCAGCGCAATGCACCTGCCGTAGCGCGCCGGCCGCGGCGGCCATTGGAGGGTAAACCAACAGCAAAAAGGAAGACCTTTCTCTCTGTCTCTCTCTCACTGTCCTCTCTGCCTGTCAAAAAAAAAAAAAAAAAAAAAATCCATTCATTGAAGATCTACTGCCCCTACACAATTCAAATGATACGGAAAATATAAGGAGAAATATTATAGAGGCAAGATCTGAGGTTCCAACTGAGATAATCCTGCTTATCTTATAAAGCAGCAACTTTAACTCTCTTCCCCATCAACAGATAAGCAAGCACTGATAGGCTACAACTGAGAAACTCAGCCTTAACCAAAGTGAAACCCATTAGTGGGAACTTAATTTGTAGTATTCAAGTTTGCTCTTAGAAAAGGTAAATAGCAAATTTTCTCTGACATCACTGTCACAAATTCTTATTAATTTTGAGTGGCCTAATACTAAGCCTACCACATGATGCTTTACAGTCATTACAAAAATTTTTTTAAGTTCATTTGAAATGCAGAGACATAGAAAGATCCCCCATCTTCTTGCTCACCCCCCAAAAATGTCTACAACATATGTGGGCTACTATGTCAACGGCAGGAGCCACAGACTCCACCTGGGTCTCCCATGTGGGTGGCAGGGATCCAATGACTTACACCGTCACCTGCTACCTCTCACAGTGTGTGTTAGCAGGAAGCTGACATGGAGAGCAGAGCCAGGCCTCAACCATCCAGTATAGGATGCAGGTAAGATGCAGGCATCTTAAGTGTCAGCTTAACTGTTAAAAAACACAATGCCACCCACAATACTCATTAAAATTTGAAGCAAAAACAAACTGACCTAAAATAACAATCATATGAAACCCTCTAAAATGGTATTAGAAGGTACAATAAAATTTGTTAGTATGGGTATGGGCATTTGGCCTGGGGTTCAGATGCCCACAATCCCGTTTCAAAGGCCCTGAGTACAATAGCCAGGCTCTGTCCCCTGATTAGAGTTTCCTGCTAAGATAGACCCTGGGAGGCAACAGTGAGGTCTCAAGTAATGGAATTTATATCACCCACATGGGAGACCTGGATTCCATTTCCAGTTCTTGGTTTCAGCCCAGACTAGCCACAGCTGTTGCAGCCATTTGGGAAGTCAACTAATGAATGGGAGCTGTTTCTGTTTTTCAAATTAATAAACCTTTAAAAAACAAACAAACCAAAAAACTTCATTAGCAGAAGCACTGATATAATCAAAATAATTTTCAGTTAAAAAGAAACTGAGTCATATATCTGGTATTTTGTATCGATACTTCTGAATACTACCAATAATGCCCAAAATATGTAAAAAAGAACAAAATGCTTAGTGCATTATCTGAAAAATTTCAATAAAATATAGGTATCTGTAAATAATTAGATTCAGATATTCAAAGAACTTACAAGTAATTATGCCTCTAGGTTCTTGAAATAGGAACAAAGCATGTAGGACTCGAGACTTGACACTCTGATGTTCTAGAAAACAGAAGCCAAATTCATCCATGTGTTTTAATGAAAAAGTTAAACAAGCACTGTTAAAGTTAAAATGAGACCACCTACCATATGGAGGAACCATCTGATAAGGAGAAAGAAGAAAAAGGTATCCTCGGTCTCCCAAAGGTTTAACAAGAACCTGTATTTTTGAGAAGGGGAAGAAGTTGTATCTGCTTTATTAATTGACATACTGAGGAACATAGCACTTCCTACTAAATGTGATATTTTTAAGAGAAAAATATTGCTGCTGAGTTGGTTACAAACTGTACTGACTTCATTAATTAACTAGATTCGAATCAAGTAAAAATTCCTTGTTTTTAACAGAATGAGAGAATGTCAGCGTAATAATGCCCTTAATTAGCCATAAAGTCAATGTGTTCATCTTGCCCTGAAGTTAAGAACCAAACTAGAGGCCAGCGCTGTGGCACAGGGAAGAAAGCCACTGCCTGCAGTGCCCGCATCGCATGTGGGCACCAGTTCAAGTCCTGGCCACTCCACTTCTGATCCAACTCTCTGCTATGGCCTGGGAAAGCAGTAGAAGATGGCCCAGCACTTGGGCCCCTGCACCCGGAAGAAGCTCCTGGTTCCTGTCTTCAGATCAGCACAGCTCCAGCCATTGCGGCCAACTGGGGAGTGAACCAGCAGATCAAAGACTCCCTCTCTCTCTCTCTCCTCTCTCTAACTCTGCCTTTCGAATAAATAAATTAATTTTTAAAAAGAACAAAACTAAAGACTTCAAATATTTCCTTTATCAAATCAAAAGGCGTTATTAATTGTCAAGGCAGTGTGTTGGATGCTGGATGTAAAATATGCTTTGAAACATGCTTTGAAATGCTGCCTGTGTAGAGAGTTCAGGCTGATCTACAATAAAATATGTTACCATAATCTAATTCCACACATATTAAATCAACGTCTTTTCACACATTGGGCAATTTTCCCTGCCAGAGATAACTAAAGATAAGCAAGGCAACGTCCTTATTCATGAGAAGTTCATACCTAGAGAGTAACACAAGTAACATCAACAGTTATATAAGAAAGAGAAGTTCCTTTAGAAATTTACAAAAGCACAGCAAGAATGGAAAACAATATATAGTCTGCTATGGTAGTAAGAAAGAAGAAAGATTTTCTGGGAGGGTACTGAAGGTGGATTCTGAATCAACAAAAGCCTGAGTTATGGGAAAGACATTTCAGGAGAGGCAACATCATAAGCAAAGGCAAGTTCTAACAGACAATTACAATGGACAGTCTACAGGCATTATAGTACTTATAACTGGCCAAAAGGTGATAGGCTAGGATAAACACATCAGACAAGTCCAGAAAGACAGATCTCAGTATGTATCTCTATATCACATGTCAAGAGATAGCCTATGGAAATTTGAAAACACTAATAATTAAATAATGAAACTACACCAACACACAGAACACAACTAAAGCAGTATTTGAAGCTGGGTATTCATTAACCTTTTTTTCCAACTTGAGAATAAACAACAAAATAAACTAGAATAAAAAAGCAGAAATTAATAGTAATATAACAGAAAGGGTTAAAATAAGTATTTCATTCATATGACTAATAACACTGGCCGGTGCTGTGGCTCACTTGGCTAGTCCTCCGCCTGCAGCACCGGCACACCGGGTTCTAGTCCCGGTTGGGGTGCCAAGTACTAGTCCCAGTTGCTCCTCCTCCAGTCTAGCTCTCTGCTGTGGCCCAGGAGGGCAGTGGAGGATGGCCCAAGTGCTTGGGTCCCTGCACCTGCATGGGAGACTGGGAGGAAGCACCCGGCTTCTGGCTTCAAATTGGCGCACTGCACCGGCTGTAGTGGCCATTAGGGGGGTGAACCAATGGAAGGAAGACCTTTCTCTCTGTCTCTCTCTAACTCTGCCTGGCCAAAAAAAAAAAAAAAAGACTAATAAGACTAATAACACTGACAAACCTCTGGTTAAAATGACTAGTAAAAAAATAATAAATATGGAAAAGTGATTATAGGAGACACTAAAAATAGACTATATAAATTATTTTATCCCAGTAAATTTGAAAGTTTACAAGAAACGAACAAATTCCTAAATAAACAAAAGCATAATGTATAGAAATTGATCCAAGAAAACCGAAAACCTTCTCTACTATGATTGAAATCAATACATTTAAATCATTCCTAAACAAGTTTTGCAATTATGTTCTCTGTAATAAGATACAGTCTACCCTCCATATCCCTGAGTTGTGAATCCATGATTTCAACCAACCTCAGAACAAAAATCTTCAAAATAACAAAATCCAAAATGTTCCAAATAGAAAAATTTGAACTTGCCACATTCCAAGCACTGTGCTGAATCCACGAGAATAAAGTGATATGCGTATCTGTTCTACTGAAGTCTCACCATTACATATTTCTTTAGTTTTTCTTCTGCCTTGGACATTGTTTGCCATATATCTCATTTGTGTACTACTCAGGCCTACAAAGTCTGTATGTTCTGAACATGTACAGACTTTCATTATTCCATGAAAAATACAGCATAGCTATATAACATGTATATTGTGTTAGGTACTACAAGTGATCTAGAGATGATTTAAAACATATGGGAAAATATACATAAGTTACAGGCAAATACTGTGCCATTTATGTAAGGGAATTCAATATCCATGGAGTTTGTTATCAGCAGGGGGTCTTGGAACTAATACCTCACGAATACCAAAGGATCACTGTACATCTACCTCTTGCCAAACTACCCAGCTCATTCTGAGAAGCTAGTATAAAAACATTCATGCAAGAAATAGACAAGCATGATGTGAAAGAAATTTCAAGTCAACCTCATTCATCAACAGTGACCCAAATTTCTAAACAAAGCATTCAATTAAAATGTGACAACCATTCTTTCGTTTAAAAAAAAAAAAACCAGGGCTGGCGCCAAGGCTCACTAGGCTAATCCTCCGTCGCCGGCACTCCAGATTCCAGTCCCGGTTGCTCCTCTTCCAGTCCAGCTCTCTGTTGTGGCCCGGGAAGGCGGTGGAGGATGGCCTAAGTGCTTGGGCCCTGTACCCGCATGGGAGACCAGGAAGAAGTACCTGGCTCCTGGCTTCGGATCGGCGCAGCGCGCTGACCGTAGCGGCCATTTGTGGGGTGAACCAACAGAAAGGAAGACCTCTCTGTCTCTCTGTCAAAAAAATTTATATATATACATATAGAAAAGCAGGCCTTACTAAACACTTTTCTTTAATTCCACATTAGAGATTCTATATTACACAGTAACTCAAGAAAAAGAATAGTATATGGGCAAGTGTCATAGCACAACAGGTTAAGCTGCTGCCTTCAATCCCATATAGGTGCCAGCTCACAACCCAGCTGCTCCACTTCTTCTTTTTTAAACATTTTAAAGACAAAGAGAGGGAAAGGCAAAGACAAAGGTCTTCCATTCACTGGTTCACTTCCCAAATGGCCACAACGGGCAGAGCTGGGCCAATACAAAGCCAGGAGCTTCTTCCAACTCTCCCATCTTCTACTGCTTTCCCATTCCATCAACAGAGGACAGGATTGGAAGAGGAGCAGCCAGGATACTCTATTACGACAGCATGGGTCCCCAGGCTGCTCCACTACTGTTGCAGCTCCCTGTTAATGCACCTCAGAAAAGTAATAGAAGACGGCCCAAGTGCTTGAGCCCCTGCACCGTGAGAGACCCAGATGGAGTTCCAGGATCCTGGCTGTTGCAGACATTTATCTGGAGAGTGAACCAGCAGATGAAAGATATCACTCTGTGTGTGTGTGTGTGTGTGTGTCTTCCTTTAACACTACCTTTCAAATAAATAAAATAAATCTAGGAAAAAAAAAAGAGCTGCGCCAATCCAAAGCCAGAAGCCAGGAGCTTCTCCCAGGTCTCCCATGTGAGTGCAGGGGCCCAAGGACTTAGGCCACCTTCTACTGCTTTCCCAGGCCACAGCAGAGAGCTGGATCGGAAGAGGAGCAGCTGGTACTAGGACCGGCGCCCATATGGGATGCTGGCACTTCAGGCAAGGGCTTTATCCCGCTGCACCACAGCACCAGCCCCTAAAGCAATTTCAATAATAAAAATATCCTTGAATATTAATATCTACAACATACATAGAATACCTGCACAAGTATAAAACATAAGAAACTCAATTTATTTTAAATTTGCATCTCAGGAAATTACAAACTAATCACACTAAGAGAGTAAGATAGTTGGGCTCCTGCCACCCATCTCCTGCCTTCAACCTGTCCCAATGTCAGCTGTTGCAGATATCTATAAAGTGAGCCATCAGATGGAAGCTATCTCATTTCTTTTTTTAAATTTTATTAATTTTTTTAGCTATCTCAGTTCTAACATAAATTTCTTCCAAAAAATGGCATCATCATGGCATAAAGGGTAAAGTGGCCACCCGCAGTGTTGACATCCCATATGGGCACCGGTTTGAGTCCTTGCTGCTCCTCTTCCAATCCAGCTCTCCGTTATGGCCTGGGAGAGCAGTAGAAAAAGGCCCAAGTGCTTGGGCCTCTGCACCCACATGGGAGACCAGGCAGAAGCTCCTGTCTCCTGGTTTTGGCTTGGCACAGCTCCAACCACTGCAGCCATCTGGGGAGCGAAGCACAAGATGGAAGATCTCGCTTGCTCTCTCTGCCTCTGCCTCTCTGTGACTCCGCCTTTCAAATAAATAAGTAAATCTTAAAAATGACATTATCTGGGGCCACCGCTGTGGCGCAGGAGGTAAATGCCCTGGCCTGAAGCGCCAGCTCGAAACCCAGCTGCTCCACTTCCAATCCAGCCCTCTGCTATGGCCTGGGATAGTAGTAGAAGATGGCCCAAGTCCTTGGGCCCTGCACCTGCGTGGGAGACCTAGAGGAAGCTCCTGGCTCCTGGCTTCGCATCGGCGCAGCTCCGGCCATTGCAGCCAATTGGGGAGTGAACCATCAGATGGAAGATCTCTCTCTCTCTCTGCTTCTCCTCTCTCTGTGTAACTCTTTCAAGTTCAAAAAGAAATAAATCTTTAAAAAATGGCATTATCTGTGTAAAAAATTTTCTCCCTCTGTACTGGAACTTCCCACATGTACGTGATCTCATCTGTTTCATTTCACAAGAAAATAAACCATCAAGGCAGGCATTTAGCTTAGCCGTTAAGCCTGCATCCTGTATCAGAATGCCTAGACTTGAAGGGCTTGTGCTACAGCTTAGAGAGTAAAGCCACCACCCGCAGGGAGGGTCTCCCATGTGAGTGCAGGGATCCAAAGACTGCTTTTCTTGGCACGTTAGCAGGGAGCTGGATCCCGGGTACTGAACTGGTAACTACTTGGGAATCTGGCATCTCAGGTACCAGCTGCACCACAATGCCAGCCCTGAAATAATGCTGTATTAAAAGCCACATTTTGGAGCCAGTGCCATGGCTCACTTGATTAATCCTCCACCTGCGGCGCTGGCATCCCATATGGGCGCTGGTATCCCATATGGGCGCCAGTTCTAGTCCTGGTTGCTCTCTTCCAGTCCAGCTCTCTACTGTGGCCCAGGAGGGCAGTGGAGGATGGCCCAAGTGCTTGGGAGAACCGGAAAAAGCACCTGTTTCCTGGCTTCGGGTCAGCACAGCGCCGGCCATAGCACCAATTTGGGGAGTGAACCAATGCAAGGAAGACCTTTCTTTCTCTCCTCTCTATCTGTCTATAACTCTACCTATCAAATAAAAAAAAAAAAGCCACATATTGGGGCTGACAGTGCCAGGTCCCACTTGGGTGCCAGTTCACGTCCCAGCTGCTCCATTTCTGACCCAGCATGGAGACCAGGAACAAGCACCTGGCTCCCTCCTGGCTTCAGATCGGTGCAGCACGGCCTTAGCAGCCATATGGGGAGTGAACCAACAGGAAGGAAGAACTTTCTCTCTGTCTTCTCCATCTCTCTCTCTCTGTTCATAACTCTACCTGTCAAATTAAAAAAAAAAAAAAAAAGGAAAGAAAAGCCACATATCGGCTGACAGTGCCGGGTCCCACTTGGGTGCCAGTTCAAGTCCCGGCTGCTCTACTTCTGACCCAGCTCCCTGCTAACGCATCTGGGAAAGCAGCACAGGATGGCTCAAGTCTTTGGAGACCCAGTAGAAGCTCCACGTCCTGGCTTTGGATTGGCCCAACTCTGCCCATTGCGGCCATTAGAGGAGTCTACCAACGGATATAAGACCTCTCTTTCTCTCTCTTTGTATCTGCCTTTCAGATAAACAAGTAAATCTTAATAAAAATGCCCTGGCCTGAAGCGCCGGCATCCCTTATGGGCAATGGTTCTAGTCCCAGCTGCTCCTCTTCCGATCCAGCTCTCTGCTGTGGCCTGGAAAAGCAGTAGAAGATGGCCCAAGTCCTTGGGCCCTTGCACCTGTGTGGGAGACCCGGAAGAAGCTCCTGGCTCCTGGCTTTCGATCAGCACAGTTCTGGCCATTGCGGCCAATTGGGGAGTGAACCAGAGGGTGGAAGACCTCTCTCTCCGCCTCTCCTCTCTGTGTAACTCTGACTTTCAAATAAATAAATCTTTAAAAAAAAAGAAAAAAAACTCAAAACTTGGAATAGTTACTTCCCTTCCCAGCAACCACCTGATCTTCAGCTAAACCACAGATACTGGCATCATACATTAATTTTCCATTTACTTCTCAACCCATCACAATCTGATGTCTGACCCAATCCCTCTGCCTAAACCAGTGATATTCAGTATCTATTAAACTGGGTTTCACTGGAGTCGGCACTGTGGCATAGTGAGTAAAGCCACCACCTGCAATGCCGGCATCCAATATGAACGTTGGTTCAAGTCCCTGCTGCTCTGCTTCTGATCCAGCTCTCTGCTATTGCCTGGCAAAGTAGTAGAAGATGGCCCAAGTCCTTGGGCCCCTGCACCTGCACGGGATACCTGGAAGAAGCTCCTGGCTTCGAATTGGCTCAGCTCTGGCCATTGAGGCCATCTGGGGAGTGAACCAGCAGATGGACGACCTCTCTATCTCTCTGCCTCTCGGTAACCCTGCCTTTCAAATAAATACAAAAAAACATTTAAAAATAGTTAAGTGAAAAAAAAATTGGGTTCTACTTAGTAAATATCCCACAGAAGTCTCTTATCATTATTCTTACCATTCTCATCACATCACTGGGACCCACTAATAAGTATTCCACCTCATCTCCCCTGTTCAATTTATTTTCTAAGAAAGAGTAAGCAAGCAAAGATTTCAAAATACAGATCTGATTATGTTGCATACATACTCAATGCCCCATCCCACTTTCTTTAAACTCTTCAAAACCCACTGCTCTTAGAATCAAGTTCAAGCTCCCATTTTAACATTGCCTGAATGATGCTGTATTATACCATACTGGCTCCATCTGCTACTCCCTCCAACTACTATAGTGTTATTTTATCTCTTCAAATTCTTTTTTTATCTTCATATATGCTACCGTATCTGCTGAACAAATGACATCTATCTGAATATTCATCACTCTTATAATCCAGAACAGAGTATCTTTGTCTTCCATACTATATGCCCTCTGTAAGAAAGTGATTCTCAATATACATATTTGTTGACTATTATATTCATAATAACAAAGTTTAAAAAACTTACTTCATGGGGAAGATTAGTCTGTATGTCTAGTGACATGGCCAAAAAGAGTAACAGAAGATATAGTAAAACATGGTTAGCTAAGTGGTAGCAATAAAGAGTATTCTGAGAGGCAAAATAAACTGAAATATTAACATGGTCACTTACTAATATGCACATTTCTTAAAGAGAATGAGGAAGACTTTAAAACCTTTGACTCACAAGCTTTTCTTTCTCTAGTTTTTGCAGTAAATTCTCCATGTTACTTCCAATCCTTGTCTTTTCTACAACTTCATAAAGACTGCAGTACATTCCATTCTTCAAAACTGATGAGGAAAAAAAAAAGTAAATATCTAACTGAAGTCTGCTTCCTACACATTTTAGTAAAATCATATTACTTTACCTTCATTTGGGCCTAAGTACGTTTCCTTATAAAACAGTGCTGGAGGGATTTTCTGTTTCAGATGATCAATACTCATAACTGTTTCAACATCTAACTTCTCAGGACTGAAAGAAATCAAAAAAGTATGTTTGCCTCACCTGTATTTTTAACCCTAGCAATGGTATCTCTTTGTTTATCTCTCATAGTTACAAAAATACTTGAGGGAAACAGAAGGGCGTATTCATTAATATCCCATCTTTATTCTAAACAGAACTTTAACATGTTAAGTCCAGATGTCCATACACAGGTAGACAGTTTGGCAACAAAAGCCAGAAGCTGAGCCTTTGTGCCAATTTTACTAACCACAAAGATTAAAGTGTTGTCATTTTATAGTGGTGGTCACAAAATACTATTTTAGACTTTTTTATTCCAACATACATTGCATATAAAACTCTGTATATTTTAACCAAACTCACTACATCAAACTTCCTTCCATCAAGGAGCTGGTACCTTATAAATCTATTATATTCTATTCAAGTTGCTAGATGAGAAACACATCTAACTAGGATAAAACTTTGAAAAATTACTTCTCATATTTAAAATTACTAGAAAAAAGTTGCATAACATAAATAAGATCCCACTAGCAACCACCAACTATTTTCTTAGAATGTAACATACTTACAGCTTGATAGGCAAAAAAGCTCGAGTGGGTGACCTCAAAGAAATGTAACAAAGAAGTTTTCCTTTATTTAAAAGCTGTCCTTTCCATAAGGTGTAGTTAAATTTATCTAAATAAAAAAATGACACAGCTCAGTCTCTTAACAGCTCAAAGAAGTGAATGCAGGTTTATTAGAAATGAGGGAAAGAATTTAGAAACAAGGCTTTTAAGCCGAAAATTTAAAAGATACTCATCTACTCACACTAAAGTTCAAATGTTATCTTTTCCTCTAAAGAAAACACCAGCTACAAAGAATGATAAATTTATCTGTCACTAGCAGGCGTATGACCTAGTGGCTAGGATGCCCATGTCCCACGCTGATATATCTATTTTCAGTACCTGGCTCTGGCTCCTGACCTAAGCATCCTGCTAATGCAGACTCTAGGAGGCAGCATCAATGCTTCAAGTAACTAGGTCCCTGATACCTACATGGGAGGCCTGGATTGTGTCTAGTCCCCAGCTTCCTGGCCCAGCATGAGCCACTGCAGGCATCTGGGGAGTGAACCACTGATAGGAGCTCTGTCTCTCTCTCTGACTCTCAAATTAAAAAAGGGAGAGGTGGAAGAGCGGGAAGAATCTTTCCTTAAAATAAAAATTTAAGAAGAGAAACATTTCACAATCTTTTCTTACATCTATTTATTCTTTCAATTTATTTAAAGTAAAGAATGTAGAAATCTTACCTACGTTTCTATCCACATTAAAGCTGTTGGATCTACAAGTAAATTTTTAAAAAGAGAAATGTTACTGATTGAAAACATGAAAGTTAACATTTAGGACCTTGATGTAATATTTTAAAAGGCACATTGCACAAAGTAATTAAACTCTTCTTCCAAAAAGGAAAAGCAATTGAACTATTCATTATAAAATTTAATAAATCCAAGTCTTGTTAAAGAAAAAGTATTTTACTCAAATTACCCTATTTGTCCAAACTTAAGGGAACTTTTCCCAAAAAAAGATATTAAAAAAAGACATATTCTACATGTATTTATATATATTCACTCATCACTACATACTTAATAAACTCTTATTATTTACCAGGCATAATTTTTTCTAAGATTTATTTATTTATTTGAAAGTCAGAGTTACAGAGAGAGAGAGAGAGAGAGGGAGAGAGAGAGAAAAGTCTTCCATCTACTGGTTTACTCCCCAAATGGCCATACCAGATGGAGCTGCACCAATCAGAAGCCAGGAGCTTTTTTTAGGTCCCCTACGCTGGTGCAGGGGCCTAAGGACTTGGGCCTTCTTCTACTACCTTCCCAGGCCATAGCAGAGAGCTATGGAGCAGCCGGGACTTGAACCGGCACCCATATGGGATGCAGGCAGCGGCTTTACCCGCCATGCCCTTATCAGGCATAATTCTAAGTAACAGGATTTCAGGGATAAACAGAATTAAGTCCCTGCTTTCATAGAACTTACTATCTAATGAGGAAGACAGACAACACAGGAAGTACATAGTTACCAGATGATGGTTTTAATTTCTATGGGAAAACAGAGACATAAGTGTATAGGGAGTAAAAATAATCATCATCATCATCATCATCAAGGCAGGTGCTGTGGTATAGTGGGTAACAACTCTGCTTTTGTGACACCAACATCCCATATAAGCACCGGTTCAAGACCTGGCTAGTCCACTTTCAAAACAGCTCCCTGTTAATGTGCCTGGGAAAGCAGCAAAGATGGTTCAAGTGCTTGGGCTCAGGCATCCATGTGGGAAACCCAGAAGAAGATCCTAGCTTTGGACTGGCTCAATACCAGCTGTTGTGGTCATTTGGAGAGTGAACCAGCAGATGAAGACCTCTCTCTCTGCCTCTTCCTCTCTGTAACTCTTTCAAATATATAAATAAATCTTCAAAATAAGAGATGCTTCTGTAAATAATAGGAATATTTCATAAAATACCTTAGCTGTAGCTGTTTTTTTCATGTGTGTCTGTGTATATTCCAGAAATTTCCAAATTGTAGGAAAAACCCCAGCCTTCAATTGCAGGTAAAAGGAAATAGAGGCCAAGTTATAGAGTGGTCCACTACAGAAAGTCTGTCTAGGCAGGGGCCAGCACCATGGCTTAGTAGGTTAAGCCTTTGCTTGCAGCACCAGCATCCCATATGGGCATCAGTTCATGTCCTGGGTGCTCCTCTGCTGATTCAGCTCTCTGCCTACGGCCTGGGAAAGCAGTGGAAGATGATCCCAGTGCTTGGGTCCCTGTACCCGCGTGGGAGACCAGAAAGAAGCTCGTGGCTCCTGGCTTCAGATAGGCTCAGCTCCAGCCATGACAGCCATTTGGGAAGTAAACCAGCAGATGGAAGACCTCTCTCTCTGTCTCTCCCTCTGTCTGTAACTCTGTCTCTCAAATAAATACATAAAATCTTAAAAAAATAAAAATCAGAGACAGCCTTATGATATTGTCACCTTTAAAGAGAGACATGAATAAACTACACACATAAATGTGGAAAGACAACAAATGAGCAAATGCAAGGTATTCACTGCACAGTGACACAGCAGTGTTCAGTCAATGCTTGAATGAAATGCTATGGAGGGGGCCGGCACCGTGGCACAGCAGGTAAAGCTGCCATCTGCAGTGCCGGCATCCCATATGGGTGCCTGTTCAAGTCCCGGCTGCTGCACTTCCAATCCAGCACTCTGCTATGGCCTGGGCAAACAGTGGAAGATGGCCCAAGTCCTTGGGCCCCTGCACTTGCATGGGAAGACCCGGAGGAAACTCCTGGCATCTGGCTTCAGATCAGCACAGCACTGGCCATTGCAGCCATCTGGCGAGTAAACCAGCGAAAGAAGACCTCTCTCTCTCTCTGCCTCTCCTCTCTTTGCGTAACTCTGACTTTCAAATAAATAAATAAATATTTTTTAAAAATGCTATGGAGGTCAACAGATGGGATCAAAGAGGTGGCAAGGAAAACAGCCAGTCATCAGTGCTAGGGGTGCAACCTCTTAAGTGCTACAGGTCTTTTAAAGATCACTTATGAAAAAGAGTGAATATATATAATATGGATTATAAATAGTCTTTTAAAAATGAAAACAGGGGGCCAGCATTGTAGTGCAGTAGGTTAAGCCTCCGCCAGAATACCACATGGGCGCCCATACATGTCTGGCTGCTCCACTTCCAAATCAACTCTCTGCTAATGGCCTGAGAAAGCACTGGAAGATGGCCCAAGTGCTTGGACTTCTGAACTCATGTGGGAGACCTGGAAGAAGCTCGTGGTTCCGGCCTTTGGATTGGCCCAGCTCTGGCCACTGTGGGCATCTGGGGAGTGAACCAGTGGATGGAAGACCTGTCTCTCCCTCTCTTTCTCTCTGTAACTCTGCCTCTCAAACAAATAAGTAAATCTTTTAAATAAAAAAAGACAAAGGAAACCTAACTGTTTTGATATTCTGCAAATTAGTACTTTGCGACTATGTAAGGTTCCCAGGGTTCGTTCACTGACACCAAAAAACTCAAATGATTTAAGAGGAAAAAAATTTGATGCACAAAATTGATAAAGATGTCAATCTCAAAATGATCTTAAATGTCATGATATGTGATTTTTTTAAAAGATTTATTTTATTTATTTAAAAGACTTATAGAGAGAGGTCTTCCATCCGCTGGTTCACTCCCCAAATAGCCACAATGGCCGAAGTTGGGCCAATCCGAAGCCAGGAGCCTAGAGCCTAGAGCTTTTTCTGGGTCTCCTACATGAGTGCAGGGGCCCAAGGATTTGGGCCATCCTCTGCTGCTTTCCCAGCCACATTAGCGGGGAGCTGGATCAGAAGTGGAGCAGCCAGAACTCAAACCATATGGGATGTCAGCACTGAAGGCGGCAGCTTAACCCTCTACACCACAGTGTCAGCCCCAGTATGTAACTGGCGTTGTGGTGTGATAGGTTAAGCTGACACCTGAGACATCAGCTTCCCATGTGGGTGCCAGTTCTCTACTTGGGATCCAGCTCCCTACTAATGTGTGAAGAAAAGCAGTCTTTGGACCCCTGCACTCACATAGGAGATACCCCCCAACCCAATGGCTTTCCAGGTTCCTGCCTCTGGCTATTTCTATCCCCGCCTATTTCAGCCATTTGGGGAATAAACCAGTGGAAAGATCTCTTTAACCCTGCCTTTCAAATAATTTTTAAAAAGCAGTATTTCTAAATCAAAATGAATCACATCATTTTAAATATGTATAGGTACCCAAAATAAATAGACATTCCTATATATTTCTCCTATATTCCTATAAATTAACTTATTCCATTCAACTAAAACATTTTGTGGAAGCACCATGGGAAAAAGGAGGCAACTCCTTTGTATTTGGTCACCTTGTCTAAGAACTTATGAGAAAACATCAATGGTACTCAATACTTGCTGAAAATCAGAATCACCTGGAAGCTTTTAAAAACTACATATGTCTAGGTTGCACTCTAAATATCGATTTAACTGGTTTGAGGTGAGGCTGGGGCATCTTTAGTAAAAATTCCCCATTCCAAGAGAGCTAACACATATACCAAGTCTCACTTTTTTTTTTCTCTGTCTCTCCCTCTCACTGTCTACCAAGTCTCACTTCTAAAAATTGCCATTTACTCAACTACACAAATCTTTAATACCAAGATAAAGACTTTAATGGGGCCAGTGTGATAAAATGGGTAAAGTCACCAGATACAATGTCAGCATCCAAATGGGCACTGGTTCAAGTCCTGCCTGCTCCACTTCTGATCCAACTCCCTGCCTGGGAAAGGCAGCATAGGATAGTCCAAGTGCTTGGGCCCCTGCCACCCACATGGCAGATCCAGAGGGAGCCCCTGGCCCAGCCTTGGCTGTTGCAGCCATTTGGGGACTGAATGAGCAGATAGAAGATCTCTGTCTTTCTCCCTCTCTCTGTAACTCTGCCTTTCAAATAAATAAAAAGAGGTTAACCACGTGAGGTTTGAGTAAATTTTAGTTTGTATTTTCAAAATGTCTGACCTTCACCATGAATTTCATCATAAATACTTAAGTATCCAACTAATTTCAAGAGAAATTAAAAAAAAAAAGTAAAGAAAGTGATCCTCCTAACTCAGCAGCACAGGCTCTGTAATAAATCACCCATTTATGTCTAAAAGTCATAGGTCTTACCTTGATGAAGTTGCAAACTTTGGTGATTGTATATCATCTTTATAAGTAAAAGACACAACTGCATATGGACATACGTGTCTAGGTCTTCGCCTTAGTTCATCAAAGCCATACTCATAAAAATAATACTAAAAATTAAAAAACGCAGAATTAAAAATGCAGGAATTAGAGTGGAACCATGTATTTATATCTGAATTCTGAGAAACAGAAAACCATTTAGGCACCTCTGACAAATTTTTTTTAAGCTCCATTTGTCAATTCAACAAATATAATTTGTATTCAATACTCATTTTGATGTAAAATATTCTGCTTCTGTGTATCAGCTCTCAGGGTACAATCAGACATTCTAAAAGTTTACTTCTAAAGAGTTGCCCACTGGGCATGTCCAACACATTTCTTAATAAGCATATTAAGAGTAGAGTCTAGGCTCCCAGGTAAACCTAGAAAAGCCAACTTGACACAAAAAGCAAAATACAAAAGATACAATCTCCACCAAATATAACTACCATTTTTATTATTAAAAAAAAAAAACTTATCAGGATCCAACTGCAAATAAAGCAGAAAAGGAGATGTTGAAAAAATACACTCATAGGTGACAAAGGCAAGCAACTCTCTTCCCATAATCCACCAGTATCTTCCCTTCACCTACTCACCACATTCATTAAGCTAGAGTTTTGTGACTTGCAGACTAGTATCTTTCACTTAAAAACACTACTTGAATTTATAGACAAAGCAGCATTGTCCCTCAAAGTCCATTCCCCTAGGAAACAACTGACTTCAATAATGCTGCTGTTACTGCAAAAATGTCTCAGAATCCTTTTAAAGTCTAAAGCCATTACACAAGTTCTCCTAGAAAAAACCAGTAATCCCTTATAGTTATACCTCATATCTACCAATACTACTATTGTCCAGAAGGTTATCAAATGAGTCAACTCCAGGTGACTGGTAAATACTCAACAACTGGTCGTCCCCACCGAGATTCTTCAAGAAGGGAACAAGAATCACATGCTTTAAACAAAGTAAAAATTAAATAAAGAACATTTCCAGGAACATTATTAACATCATACTTTCTGCACACAATTCATTTGAATATATATATTTTTACGATAAAAACAGTAACATTACAGTCAAATCTCATAAAAGAGTAAAATCCATTTTAAATGCTTAAAACCTTTAAATGCTTACTGTGTTATCAATTACACCTGAATAAAACTTAAAGCAATTAATTCTAGGTATGCATCTTAAAAAGTGTTCATAAAGAGAGAAAATGTCAATAATATAAAATGTTATAAATTAAGATATTTCAAAAGCTTCAACTTTACCTTGAATGAAAAGTACTATTTTAAGAGGCACTGTCTTTATGTGCCCAGAAAAGTCAAGATTCCAAAATGAAATGAGGTGTGTTGAGGGCAGCTGTTATAAAAAAATCAAGCTAAAGACAGAAACTAAATGCAGGGAAACTTAGATTAAAGAATCTGAATATTAGCCTTTAGGCTTGAGGAGTGACTCGGCCAACCTGGAAACACTGAACAAACAGTAGAGAGAGACAATGGAGGCCGGCAGAGTCTAAAGGGTGTGGTAGCAGAGGGAACTGAAAAGGAGACACTTAAGGATTTGGTAGCAAACAGATATGAGGTCTTAACATTAAAATAGATCCAGGCACCTACCTGTGTAAGCTCATAGGCTCTGTATGCCAAAAGTGATGTAATTCTACAAGCATTCTTCGACACATGACATTCATGCTTTGGTGTTGGGTCCAAAGCACTTTTACTTAACATAGATTCCAAACTTTTAACACCCATGGGATCATATATACTCTTTATTTTACCCTAAAACAAACAAAATCTTTTAAGTGTTCCCCTAAACCTAATTATTAATTATATCACATTTACATTATACCATATTCGTTGAATATAGATCACCTAGACTGTATCAACATTTTTTTCCTTTAATGCCTGGTAAGTATCCAGTACTTTTTACCGATACTGAAGCAGTACAAAAACGTTAACCATAAAAAAACTATACGAATTTGTCTAAAAACAAATAAATAAAAATTATATAAAATGCTCTTCATTAACCTAAGCTACAGTAACAAGTTATCCTCCTCCTTTTTTTCATTCTTTGGAAAAAAAACAAACTTAATACAGTTAGCTTAAATCGAAGACAGCAAATAAAAATCACTCTCAAAAGTACATTCATATACTAAACACCAGTAAACATGGAACTCTAATGGAATTCCTAAAATATTTGGGGTCAATAAAGATCAAAATCAAATGCTACCTTTGATACGTGTAACAGAAAAGTTAAAATTACCTTCATTATTTTAAAAATAATAACATCACCCACTGCCCCAGCTTCCAGGGGATTAGCTTGCAATAAATCAGCATACCTACAAAGATAGATACCTAATGAAGAGGAGAAAATTAAAGAATTTTAATAAGTACAACATGAGCACACATACACAAAAAGAGTATTTACCCTAATAAGAGATAAAAGCTTTGATACGTTTTAAAGCAATTTAAGGATAATAAAGATAGCTGATATTAAACCAAAGCAAAAAAAAAGATACTAATCACATTTTTCAAAATCACTAGAAAGAGACTTTTTAAAATTATTATTTTATTTATTTATTTATTTATTTATTTTTTTGACAGGCAGAGTGGACAGTGAGAGAGAGACAGAGAGAAAAAGGTCTTCCTTTTTGCCTTTGGTTCACCCTCCAATGGCCGTCGCAGCTGGAGCGCCGCACGGATCTGATGGCAGGAGTCAGGTACTTCTCCTGGTCTCCCATGGGGTGCAGGGCCCAAGCACTTGGGCCATCCTCCACTGCACTCCCTGGCCACAGCAGAGAGCTGGCCTGGAAGAGGAGCAACCCGGACAGAATCCGGCGCCCCGACAGGGACTAGAACCCGGTGTGCCGGTGCTGCAAGGCGGAGGATTAGCCTAGTGAGCCGCGGCGCCGGCCATAGAACAAGACATTTTTTAAAAAGTCTTTTGAATTAATCTTTTAAGCAATCAGAAGCATGCAAAATCAGACACCAAAGATAAAAAATTGGTTTTACACCACAGAACCTGATACTAGTCTCTTTTTCTGGAAATATGACAAAATGCACATGAATTTAATTATAAGGACTCCAGAATTACCCAAGATAATACATTAAACACAACTTAAGAGTAAATAAATATAAATGAAAAAAGAATGATTACCCATGGAAGGACTGCCAAGAATTGTTATTTTGGACTGGCCCACCTGTAATCCTTTTTCACATATGCTTTGAACCTAAATAAACAAATCATTTTTCACCTTGCAGTCATAACAGCATTAACATGAGAAAAATTTATAAACTTGTTTTAAATAAAACCTAAGGTTCTAAACTGTATATATAGAGGTATACACACACACACACACACACACATATATTCCACGTTACAGCAATTTTATATAACAACTTATGACTAAATACCAATGTGAAACTGACTTACTTCCAAAGCAACCATACCTGGATTTCATTTATATTTATGCCAAGTCTGATACTCTGGGAATTCCTGCCACTCATAATCATCCCCTTTTAAAGAGAATTAGAACCAGCAAAATATTCAAATAAAAAGTCCACTAAACACCTTCAATTAAAAGGGAAAAATAGAGGCCGGCGCTGTGGCACAGTGGGTTAAAGCCCCAGCCTGCAGCACCAGCATCTCATTTGGGCACTAGTTCAAGTCCTGGCTGCTCCACTTCCAATCCAGCTCTGTGCTATGGCCTAGGAAAGCAGTGGAAGATGGCCCAACTCCTTGGGAAAGCTGGGAGATCCAGAAGAAGCTCCTGGCTCCTGGCTTCGGATCAGCTCAATTCTGGCCGTTGTGGTCATTTGAGGAGTGAACCAGCAGAATGGAAGACCTCTGTTTCTGGCTCTACCTCTCCCTGTAACTCTGCCTTTCAAATAAGATAAAATAATTCTTTAAAAAAAAAAGGGGAAAAATAATTATAAGCACATAAATAATAATATGTTTTTTAAAATTATTTGAGATAGAAGGGGGAGGGGATGCAGAGAGCTCCCAGTCGCTACCTCATTCCCCAAATGCCATCAATAGCCCAATTCAACCCAAGTCTTCTACATGGGTGACCCCAACTACTTGAGCCTCCCAAGGTCTACACCCAGCAGGAAACTGGAATCAGGAGCCAGAGCTGAAACTCAAACTTAGGCACTTGAGCACACAATGCCTCAACTGGTGTCTTAACCACCAGATCAAACATTTACTTGAAAACAATTTTTTTTAAATAGAGAGATGAATTAATTATCAAACCAATTCTAGGGGGAAGAAAACAGGGTTACTACAAAGAAAAAATCAGTACATTTAAAAATTATGAAACAATAAGCTAAATTATTTCTTCTACTTATATATCCAAACAGTAATAACTTATAATTATCAGGTATAAGGCTGAATAAATACAAAATTAGTACCTTAAAATGGAAACATCTTCAAATTATTTTATAGAGTTGACTTACCTGGTATCGATCAACCATAAGAAATGCATAGGATTCTGAAAGTTCCTTATCTAAGCGACCATCAGACTTCAGTTCTCTTCGCTTTTCTGTAAACTAAAGAAAACTGAACCTGTAACAACTCCTTAGCTTGTGATTACATATTTAAAGCTAAAAGTTTAAATAATATTCTTTAAGAAATCCCAAGCCTCTTAAGTAGAAATGATCTTTTCTCTCCCTGTACTTTCTGCCCCTCAATCTTCTTTCCCATTTCAAATGGCTCTTTACTCATACAAGCCAGATGAGCATTTAATGTTAATCACTTTTAACTAAATTTCCACTAAAATTTACCACTCCAATTATCTCATATACATTCACATTTTAATTATCTTTGTATCTACGTTTTCAATAATACTGTGCACTGCCTGCAGCAGGTGGTTTAATAAATCTGCACTGAACAACCAATTTCTAGACTATAAACTCAATTAGGAAAATGAAAACTGGGGCCAGCACTGTGGCACAGCAGATAAAGCCGCCACCTGCAGTGCCGACATCCCATATGGGCACCGGTTCAAGTCCCAGCTGCTCCACTTCTGATCCAGCTCTCTCTGTGGCCTGGGAAAGCAGTGGAGGACACCCAAGTGCTTGGGTCCTTGCACCCAAGTGGGATAACCAGAAAAAGCTCTTGGATCCTGGCTTCAGATCGGCACAGCTCTGGCTGTTGCGGCCATTTGGGGGGTGAACCAGCAGATGGAATCTCTCTGCCTGTATTTCTCTATAACTCTTTCAAATAAATAAATCTTTTTTAAAAAGAAAGAAAACTTTCATTTCTTTTAACTGGATTCTCAATGCCAAGCACATAAATATATGGCACATATTTACAGGATTGAAGAGTGGCTTATTTTATTACTTCCAATTTAAGTCATCCTTAAAAGCTGGCTTTTCTAAAACACAAATAGATACAAATTCAAATACAGAATATCTAATATTTTATATTCAGTACTCACACCATTTCTTTTCTTCAACAATTAATGAATCTTTAGGCAAAATTTAAAAATCTCTATCATACCATGAAACCATTTCAAACTACCAAGGTTTTAATATTCTCTAGGAGCCAGTAAGTAACATTAACACCCCTTAGGGATCTTTTCAAAGTTAAATTTTGTAGCAACTGGTTCAACTTATAAAAGTACAAAATTAATAGTATTTCACATCCACTATAAGCAATACACATTATTATTTTTAAACATCTCATTTGCCCTACCTCAGAACTACATATGCTGGCTTTTCCTGATTCGAAACTCAGAGACTATTCTAATTTGTACATGAACATGTTCATTAACATGTTCAACTGCTCTCCTTTGCTCCCAGTTTTTCATTAAGATTTCCACTAATATAACAACATATCCAGCCACTAGCAAATAACTGCAGAAAAAATTAAGCACACCCAAAACACACACATTTGATTTCATTAACTACCTTTGCAGTTAGGCATTTACTTAGATACCTCTTACTCAAAATAAAGAACAAAAAGCTTCATGATGAACTTACAATTAAACTTACATTCTAAGGTATTCCTAATCTTAAGATTCATTTTCAGGACAAGAAATCACACAGTAGCAAGAATTTAACATAGCAAATGAATTCGTTACAGCAACAACGTTTAGGAAAAAACAGATGCCATCCAAAACTTGTTTTCCTTTCCTACTTTGACTTGTTTAAAGCTTTACGATTTCTAGAGAAAAAGACTTCCTCTGCTGTTATCTGGCTCTGATCAAAATCTCACAGTAAATACAAATTAATACATACCTCCTTTTCCAAGAGCTCATTATGTATCAAGCAAGCACGTTTGTAGTTAAAATTTGCTACTGAGGTTGGTTCAAGGTAAGATGAATGGAGAATATTTAAAACATCTTCAAATTCTCGAGAGCCTGAAGTTAATGGCTGGAAAAGCGCTACAATAAAAAAAATTAGTAATTTTAAGATTACTCCATAATAAGTGTAGCTTCTTATATTTTTGTGGGTTTATCTAACTTTAAGTGAAAGTTAAGACATCAAGCCTTATCTTGTGACATGCAAAAGAACTACTTATTAAGAAAAATGAAGGGGCCAGCATAGTGGCACAGGTTAAGCCACCACTAGACGCCAGCATCCCATATGGTCACCGGTTCAAGTCCCAGCTAAGCCAGTTCTGGGCTAAGGTGCGTAAGAAAGCAGTGGCAGATGGCCCACTTGGGCACCTGCCACTCACATAGGAGACCCAAATGGACAACCCCAGCCGTTGTTGCCATTTGAGGAGTGAAGAAGCAAATGGGAAGTTTCTGTTTCTCCCTCTAACTCTTTTAACCTATACTGACCAGTTCCTTCAACTATGACATTATGTAACTACACACACAAACAAGGTGGTTGCAATTTTGCATAACATATGGGAAGCTATATTAGGCTACTTGAATTGCTTAGACTCTAATAAGAACCTGTGCATGTACTGTTTGTCTCAATTCCTATTGTCATAATTTAGATGTCTAGGATCATGTATTTCCTCAAATCAAAAGCTAACACCATAAAGGACAGCATAAAAATTTTAGTTGTGTGTATAAAATATTTTTACTAAAGTTGGAAATAATAAAATACACTATATCCAAATAGCTTCTTATAGTTATTTTTTGTAACAACTTATTAAAATGCAAACATCTGGAGCTTTAGGGTTAGCCCTGAACACAAACACCAGACCAAACGTTTACTAATTTTGTGAAACACTGTGCAATTAAGTTGCTTAAACCGACATTAGTTCAGTTCTCTTATGTTGAAAATGCTATCCTATTATATGCCATATACCATCCATGTCACAGCATCTAAGTTTTTATTCCCCACGTCCCATCCATTCTACATCCCACCTAATTTTTAGAAGATGTAAATCAAATATCCAGTTTAGGGGTAGGCATGTGCCCTATTAGCTAAGATGCTTGCATCCATATCAGACAGCCTGTGTTTGATCCCAATTCCAGCTTCCAGCCAACACAGACCATGGAAGACAGCAGCAATGGCTCAAGTAATTGGGTTCATACAATACTGAGTTCCTGGAGCTGTTGCGGGCATTTAGGAAGTAAGGAGTGAACCAGTAGCTGTGAGCACCCTCACTCACTTGGTCTTTATCTCTAGCTCTCAAAAATTTTAAAATTCAATGTGTTCTTTGGGATTACTGATCTAATAACTTCAATTTCCACTTCATGCATGACATATTTTAATTTACTAATAATATACAACATCACCTATACATACAAATTTCTCCCAAATCAAAAAGAAATCTCTTAAGTTTCACTGTAGATAGAACTACTCGTGTTATACCCACTACCTTAATTTCTTCAGACACTTTTTAATAATTGTCAACAAATGTCATGGTCAAAATGCTCTTCAGCCACTAATTAAACAATGTTCTATTCTTACATACTCATAAGAGTAAGGTAATAAAATGCAGCTAACAATTTCTTTTTCCTATATTTTCTACAGCAGACTTTAACAAACACCAACGTCAAATAACAGATTCATTCACTTACAAAATCACACATTTATATATATGTATATTACATAAGTATCTGTAAAAAATGTAGATTTCAATTACAAAATGTATAATACAATTGGGATTGCACATTTTAAAAAGAAAGTCAACATTAAGTTATAGTAATGCAATAAAAGATAATGGATGGCTTTAAGCAAGCTCAACAACAAAAAAACATCAAATAGCAAGACTACTAAACACAGAATGTACTACTCTAAGGTATCTAAAATGTACCAAGAAGTACATAGCTTCAAATTTCTATGAAATTTTATAAGCCTACATAAAAAGAAATTAGTTAACCTGCCCCAATACTATTTCCATCACCAATGCAACTGACAAACAAATTTCTGTTGACATTCAAGTTATTCCCAAAAACATACTTAACATTTCCATTTCATTCCAAAGTCAAGTCCTGGGATCATGTCAAAGTACCCAAAAAGACTGTCAACAGAAAAAGGATTCTTCAGAATGTAAATACAGAAAGGTTTCAGGTCTAACAATAAACATCCATGTTCTAGGTATTTTGTATTTCAAATGTCTCAATGGCTTTACTAAGCCAGAGTCAGAATTTTATTTTTTCTAATGATGATTTCAACAAAAATAACAGTATGCTATTAATTACCTTTAAGGATTCCAAGTCAACATGCTACTAGAAACTAAGTTCCCATTCTGAATATATATTCCTTTGTGGTCTATGTTAGAGGTCTCTTAATACTGCACATATCCTAATCAATACATCTTGTCATTTCTTTTAAATAAAGTATATGCACAGCACAATCTCAAGAATGAGGCAGCAATAACCAAATGGCTATCCAAATGGGGAGCACATTTTATATATAAATCTTTTCATACATGGAAGTTATCCAATATTCTGGACGTTTTTGTATTCTGTATTCTAGTTATTGAACCTAATCACTATGAGTCATTACTACTTTTCAGAACTCAGAGCTTCACATGCAATATCTCATTTGATCATCAAAAGTACACTATGAAGATCAATGTGTTCACTTCTCAAATGAATCTAAGATAGGTAATAGTTGGCCTACTCCAAGGCTCATACCATTAATGAATGAAAAGGGCCACTGGAATTCAAAATCAAAGGATTTGGCTCCAAATTTCTTCAAGTAAAATGGAGGTGGAATCTCCAATCATGTGAAGAGATGGGGAAATGTGGTTGTTTTTTCATTTTGTAAATCAGGAAATCACATATATGACTTGAGACAAAGGAAATTTTCTATAAAGAACAAAAAACTTGACTCCTAAGGCTCTTTCAACCCTCACATCCTATTTCAAATCTCTTAATTTTTTTTTTTAATTTTCCTGTAGAGATTACAGGACCAAAAAATCCTAACACGTTTTTGGTGTACAAATACTACAGCAGTATCAACAAAAGTTCTTTCACACATTAAGAAACTTGAAGGATTTCTATTAAATGTACAACAGAAGGCAAAGCTGATTTCTGATCATATAGTTTCCCTATTGACAAAGTTATTACAGAAGTATTTTATGAGACTGAAGAACACAGAATTAGAAGAGCATTTAGAAATTTCTAATTCAGATGAGGAAACTGATAGTATAATAGAATGATAACTAGAATTCCAGTCTCCTGACTTCCAGCCATACCACCATGAATTGTTTTTTCACTAATAGCCTTACAAACATATTCAAGAACTAAATGTTACATTTAAGCCATTGGCACAGGCACAGATATAACAGGTCAGCAAATAGTAGCTTGGTTCGTTAAAGAACATTTTTCTCAGTTTTACCAATTTGGTGTTACTGTAGACTTTTGTGTAGTATGTATATATGAAAAAACTATCATATATAAACAAACTAACCCTTAAAAATAAAACTGGACCACTGCTATCAAGACATACAAGTTGTTGGCCGGCGCCGTGGCTCACTAGGCTAATCCTCCGCCTTGCAGCACCGGCACACCGGGTTCTAGTCCCGGTCGGGGCGCCGGATTCTGTCCCAGTTGCCCCTCTTTCAGGCCAGCTCTCTGCTGTGGCCAGGGAGTGCAGTGGAGGATGGTCCAAGTGCTTGGGCCCTGCACCCCATGGGAGACCAGGAGAAGCACCTGGCTCCTGCCATAGGATCAGCGCAGTGCACTGCGGCGGCCATTGGAGGGTGAACCAACGGCAAAGGAAGACCTTTCTCTCTCTCTCTCTCTCTCTGTCCACTCTGCCTGTCAGAAAAAAAAAAAGACATACAAGTTGTTAATAGAAAGCACAAACAGCTTTCTGATTTAAAGTAACTCATAGAAGAGTAGTCACCAAAAGGAGGCCAGGGATAAAGATGGTTTCCAAGTCTTTCTGAATCCAAAACTAATGGCTTCTGGATAATGATTACAATATCTATCCATGTGTTCTTTGAAATAAAGATATTAAAAAATCAACTTTCTTCCACCTAAAAATGTTTATACTCATATTATTTATATTTATATTCATACTTTGGGAATGGGGAATCTCCTTTATCAACAAGGCTGAACACAATGAATTAGGAATGAATACACTGGCAGAAATCAAGAGGAAGCAGTACATATATGAAACCTGACTTTTTGGACCAAGGACAAGTCAAAATAAACTCTACTTCATTACCTAGAATTTACATGCACCATCAAATGTTCCATGTGGATGAATAGGTTCTACCTAGAACTCCCTATTGGGTTTACTTTTATGTAGGAAGATCAGTCAACAATACACAACTATTGAAAGACCATGAATATTTCCATAAAAAAGACAATTGCAGGCCCAGCACAGAGGCGTCCTGAGCTAATCCTCTGCCGGCAGCACGGGCATCCCATGTGGGCACCAGTTCTAGTCTGCTCCTCTTCTGATCCACCTCTCTGCTATGGCCTGGGAATGCAGTAGAAGCTGGCCCCCACCTCCAGGCATGGGAGACCCAGAAGTTCCTCGCTCATTGCTTCCGATCAGCCCAGCTCCAGCCATTACAGCCATCTGGGAAGTGAATCAGCAGATGGAAGACCTTTCTCTCTCTAACTCTACCTCTCAAGTAAATAAATCTTACAAAAAAAAAAAAAAAAACAACTTCAAATTCTGTAGGACAAGATGGAGGTTGAGAGAGATAATTAGCCATTAATTCTCATGGATTAAACCAGTACGGAATCCACTGCATGAAAGCAGATTGTTTTTGAGACTCCCTTGTGCCCTAAAGAAAACATTAACCATTAAATATTCCCCAGGAGGTAAATTATCACTATTCCATTTCTCAGAAACTTTGGAGGAAAATATTCTGCCATAAGTAAATTAAAACAGGTAACTATTTTTTGATAATTTACTAAATTTACTGATGGCAATAGTGCAACAACTACTAACAAAACGCAAATATGACTGTCTTTACATTACAAGAAATAGCCCAACCAATAAATAACAATCAAAATCAGTAAAAATTACACCCTGTAAACAAGTCATTTAATCTGTCAGCATTCATTAAATGTATATATAGTGAACACAATTTCTGAATCTTAAAATCCCACAAGGATAAATACATGGTTTTCATTTTTTTAATTACAAACAAGTAAAACCAAAAGCTAACCTAAAACCTTACAAAAAAGAAAAAATGCTACACTATTGAGTAGTGGTAAAAGCACTCCATATCTAAGCTTAAATTCCAGCTCTATCATTTACTAACTGTGATTATGAACATGTTACTTCTCAGTACTTCACTTTCCTCATCTGTAAAATGGAAATGGTACCTATCACAAAGGACTTTAAGATTTCAGCTAATGTATGTAAAGTGCTAAGAATCTGTCAACATTACTACTCAATTACAATAGCAGTATTCTGGATGCTTTGTTATAGTCAAGACCAAGAAAGGAACTCTATGGGTCACTTTATACTCTTCTTAATTTTTCCATTTAAGGCATAAAAATTCTTAAGTCAATCTTAATTTCACTGGAAAAGCAATTAGAGGTCTGCCATATTCTGATACTAAAATGTTCAAGCAAATCTGAAAATCATCTGATACCCTCAATAGTAAGATTCATGACTATACATGTGTATTCAAATACTATACATAAGAGGAGTACCTTAACCTTTCAAGTCTTCCAAGAGATGTTGGGATGGAGTGTGAAACTTGCAGCTCCTGCTGTGTCTGATGAAGCATTTTTTTTATTAATGAAAGAGTTGAAATTTTCTATGACGTTTCATCCCTAAGCACTAACTTCTCTCAAGTTTGAACAGGATAAAATCCAGTGATAAAATAACTGCTTATTTAACTTCTTAAAGTTCTATTTAAATCGCTACTGTACTTTTTCAACAGCTGCTGTTCAGTGTATAAACAAGTCAAAAAATTTTCACTAAACATGAAAAAATCCTTACACACAACCCTTTTGTTTCTAAGTGAAAATGGAAAACAATTTTTCCCCAAGGATTACTGGACTCAAGAGGGAAAATTACGGTTTCTATTTTCTAAATCCTGAATTGTTTGTTTTTAATGTGTTCAACTAAATTCTGCGTGACAGAAACCTATGAATCTGGTTTACCTAACACAACACAAAACACAGCACACATCTCCTATCCTTGCCCCCCAAAACGACGGGACTTCTAGGCCAATTTTCTGGTCGTAACGAAATATTAGGTATACCATATTCTTAGGCACCTAAAACCTAATAAAAGGGAGTAGACATCAAAAGGTTTTTATCAATTAAAAAAATTTTTTTTCAACCTCCTACCACATAACTAGAGTCCATTTGAACATACTTCCAACCTATTCTCAATAACGTAGGTTGGACATAACTTTTCTCATAATCATAATTCTTAACACAATTGATAATCTTGACTTTTAAAGTAACTTTCTGAATGCTAAAATAACATTAAACTCAACTATTTCTAGAAACATTGCTCATGTCAATGGGCAGAGTTAACTTCATTTCTATCAACATGGTTTCTCAAACCAAGTATTTCCTCGGCTTTGTCATCCAAATAAAAATGAACTTTTTTTATTCTACTGATAAAAGGCTCTAAGAATTCCAGTTGTACAAAAGGAGCTGGTTAATATATGCACAATGCTTTAGTGAAGATTCTAGGTCTTCTTCATTGGGATTCAAATGACCCAAAAAAAATTGGTTTTTGCAAAATAAAAATTTTCCATTAGTTTCCTAAGTAAGTCATGAGAAACTGAACCATGCAGTAGAGCAAAAGTTGTCTAAATTCAGATATTCAAAATTACTGGGCAAATATAATTCCCTAATAGAAGCAAACACTAGTTTTGATCTCCACTACAAATTGACTCCTTCTTGAGTCACAGTATGGAATTAAGGTTGAAATAGGTAAAGGCAGTTAATGTAACTGTTCCCATAGTGGTTCCAAAAACTAAGGCGTAACTTTTCTTTTAATCTTAAGGTCTGCCAACTGCGAAACCAAACTGTGGAGATTCTTGGGCATAAGCTAGTCTCTCTTTTTTCCCCCCATTGGGAAATGACTGCACCAAGAACCTACCTTCTTTTCAAATACAAGAAAAACCATACTAAATTTGGATTTAAAGAGAGAGCTCTATTTAATCTAAGTCTTCAGAACAACCAAAAAGGTCTACATGGAAATGAAGTGTGATGGAAAACAGCAGTGTACGTGGCTCGCATCTCCTAACGGGGCTAGCTAAAAGAAGGGAAGACGCTGACATCAAGCAAATTTCAAGTAGACACTTAGAGCTGAAGAACTTTCCACAGGGAGAAGCAGCACTTGTGGTCCTCAGAACGCAATGAGCTTGGAGAAAGCCTCAGAATCCATGGCCACGGGCTATTTCCACAGGGAGACTTCTGGGAAGCATCCTTAGGAGGACACATCGGCTTCTCTGCCTTCGGGGACTGGGAGGGAGGGGCGCCGAGCACCAGCTTTCCTCTCCGGGAGCTGCAGCCTTACGGACAAGCTTCCAACCTGAGCTACTTCCAACTTCCACGGGCAGAGGGGGAGCAGCGGAGCGTGGTTGCACCGCTTTCCTCTCGCACCAAGCGCAGCAGCTGGGCGGCCGTGGCAGCGAGGGGAGAGGCGGCTGGCGCTGCATGCGTGTTTACGTGTCTCGGATGGGTGTGGGAAGGAGACAGAGAGGTTCTAATGAAAAGATGGAGGGGAGAGAGAAAGGGGGGTCGGGGAGAAGGGGAGGCACCACCTTTCTTTTCTCTGCTCTTCCTGGGGATCTGAAAACTCCTCCTAATTGGCCTTTCGGGCTCTTCCGGGCCTTTGGGCAGAGCTGCCGCGCCCGCCTCAGAGGAGTCCTGAAGCTGCTCGTGGCTGAAGCTCTGGGCGGCCTCGGCCCCCGCGGTCTCCTCGGGCCCGCCGCCGCCGCCGCCGCCGCCGCCGCCGCCGCCGCCGGGCTCGGCGATGAGGAGGCCGCCGCCGCCGCCATTTTGTGGGGACGATTCATGCTCCGGAAGCTCCTGCTTCATCTCTTCGTTGCCGCCGCCGCCGCCGCTTTCCCAGCTCGCGTCCGTCGGCGGCGAAGCCTCCGTCTCTGCAGCAGTCGCCATCGCGCCGCCGTGAGGAGCTCCGGGAAGCTTCTACCCACAAGGTCGTCGGGCGAGGGGGGAAGGGGCGGCGGGCTGGCCTCGCCGCCCAGTTACTCTCAGCCCACCCACTCCCCTCCCCCCGTGGCCGCGGGCCGCGCTCCTGACCCAGCAGCTCTTTGGAGCGCCGAAGTGGGCGCCCCGACAGTGCTGCCCTGCCCGAGGGGCCGCTCCTCGCTCGGGCAGTTCTTCAGCCGGCCCCCGCCACTCAACGTGCTCGCGTCGGGCCCGAGAAGGGGCGGGGCCGTCGCAGGCTGGCTCCGCCAATGGGAACGCGGCTCCCGCCTCCGCCAGTGCGGATACACCCTGCCAGGGGGCGGAGCCTCCAGGCGCCGGAGCCCGCCAAAAGGGGCGAAGGCAACGCCCGGCCGGTTCCTCGACGCCGCCGTTGTCCGCGAGGTGCAGGTCGTCGGCGGCTGTTTGTAAACTCCCGGGCGGCAACCTGGCCGACGCTGCCCTAGAAGAAGATGAAGTCGACCTTGTCCTGTGAGCTCTGGGCGGCACCCCTTCGAGGGGAAGATCCCCTCCCCCTGAGCAAGAGGCTTCAGAGCAGTGGATTCTGGATGACTCCAATTTGTGACTTGTTTGCATGCATACCAAGGCCCGGAAGAGATAAAGAGAATGGGTTTTGGCGATAAGAGCCTGGGTTCATCTGCCTACCATTCTCAGCCATTGCTTCTTTACAATGGAATACTCCCACCTGCCCTATTCTAAGATAAAGCTCCAGCAAGCACTGTATTAGGAGCCTTTAAAAAAAATCTATTTGTTTATTTGAAAGGAGGAGTTGCAGAGAGAGAATTTCCATCTGCTGGTTCACTCCCAAATGATTTCAACTGCCAGAGCTGAGCTGATCTGAAGCCAGGAGCCAGGAGTTTCTTCCGGGTCTCCCACGTGAGTGCAGGGCCCCAAGCACTTGGGCCATCTTCCACTGCTTTCCCAGGAGCGTCAGCAGGGAGCTGGGTTGGAAGTGGAGCAGCCGGGACTCCAACCAATGCCATATGAGATGCCGGCGGGTCTGACAGCCGTTGGCTTTACCTGCTATGCCACAGTGCCTGCCCCTGTACTAGAGGTCTTTGAAAGGGCCTCATTACTTAGTGTTAGCAAGACTGGGCTCTGGAGTGGTTGAAAAGTAAGGGAGCTACTGGCTTTTAGACTATATTTGCTTCTTCTAATTTTTTTTTTTTGCTTTCAGTTTTCCTACAGTGAATGTATATTATAGAAAAAATAAACTTTTGTAGCCACATCTTAAAAATATATACAGGCATTGTGGGTTAAGCATCCCATGCTGATACAGGAACACCAGTTGGAATTCCAGTTAGTCTGCTTCCCATCCGGGTCTCTGCTGATGCACCTGGAAGGCATCCAATGGTGGCTCACGTACTTGGGTCCCTGCCACCCACAAGAGGGACCCATCCTGCATCCTGACATGGCCTGACCCAGCCCCACCTGTTGGATACCATATGGGGAATGAACCAGTGGAAGGAAGATCTCCATCTCTCCCTCTCCCTGTCCCTCTGCAAATAATCTTTTAAAAGTATATACAGCAAGTTGTCACTCTCCCTTTAACTTGATAGTCAAGGGGGAGGACCTTTTAAATACTCTAAATCTAGTCAGCATAAACTAGCCTGAGTTCTGGAGAGTATAGCAAATACTGTATAGTCAGGAGTATAGCCAGGAGCCCTGAGCTGTTTCTGGGTCTCTCCTGTGAGTGCAGGACCTCAAGCACTTAGAACCTTCTTCCGCTGCTCTCCCAGGCGTATGAGGAGGGAGCTGAATTGGAAGTGGAACGGCCAGGTGGAGCTGGTGCCTAATGGGATGCCAGCGTCATAGGCAGGGCTTAACCCAATATACCACAATGCCAGCCCCCACTGCAGGCTTTTGGGGAGTGAACCAGTACCAGTGCACAGAAGATCTCCATCTCTCCCTCTGTCTCTATAACTCCTTCAAATAAATAAACCTTTAAAACTATATTTTTAGGGCTGATGCTGTGGTGCAGCAGTTAAAGCCCCAGCCTGCAGTGATGGCATCCCGTATGGGTGCCGGAATCCCAGCTGCACTTCTGATGCAGCTCTCTGATGCGCTTGGGAAAGCAGTGGAAGATGTCCCAACTCCTTGGGCCCCTGTACCCATGTGCGAGACCCAGATGAACTCCATGCTCCTAGCTTTGGATCAGCTCAGCGCCAGCTGTTGCAGCCATTTGGGGAGTGAACCAGCAGATGGAAGACCTCTCTCTGTAATTCTCTCAGATAAATAAAATAAATCTTTAAAAATTAATTTAAAAATGTTTTTTAAATTTTTTTAAATTTGACAGGTAGGGTTATAGACAGAGAGAGAGAGAGAGAGAGACAGAGAGAAAGGTCTTTCTTCCATTGGTTCACCACCGAAATGGCCGCTACAGCCAGCGCTGCACCAATCCGAAGCCAGGAGCCAGGTGCTTCTTCCTGGTCTCCCACGCAGGTGCAGGGGCCCAAGCAATTAAAAATATTTTTAAATGAGGGCTAGGTTGAGGGCAAGTGCTACATTTAAGTTAAAGGTTAACTTTTAGGGGGCTGGTGCTGTGGCATAGTAGGCTAAGCCACCACCTGCAGTGCCGACATCCCATATGGGTGCCAGCTGCTGCTCCACTTCCAATCCAGCTCCCTCCTATGGCTTGGGAAAGCAATAGAGATGGCCAAAGTGCTTGGTGTGGGACACTCGGAAGAAGCTCCTGTTTCCTGGCTTCAGATCAGCCCAGCTCCAGCCTTTGCGGCCATTTGGGGAGTTAACCAGCAGATGGAAGATTGATTTCTCTCTCTCTCTCTCTCTCTCTCTCTCTCTCTCTCTGCTTCTCCCTCTCTGTAACTCTGCGTTTCAAGGAAATAAATAAATCTTAAGGAAAAAAAAAAAGTGTAGGCATTTGGCCTAGTAGTTAAGTTGCTGGTTTGATTAAGATGCCAGCATCCTATATAGGCATACCTAGGTTGGATTCCTGGCTCCAGCTCCTAACTCCAGCTTCCTGCTAATGCAAACCCTGGGAGGCAGTGGTGACAATTCAAGTAGTTGGGTACCTGTCACCCAATTGGAGACCTGGATTGAGTTCCTGGTTCCTGGCTTCGGCCTGCAGGCATTTCAAGAGTGAACTAGTGGAATGGGAACATACTCTGTCTCTCTGCCTCAAAAAATATAATCTTTTAAATATATCTTTTTAGTGGAAAACAGTGTGCAATGACACAATTGCCTTTTTAAGTTTGGAAATATAAAAACCTTCCACTTCAACTCCTCATTTCAAAAACAGGAAAAGACACTGCCCCATGACAATCAATAAGAAAAGTTAACATTTATTGGGCATTTTCAGTGTGCCAGGCACTGTTCTAAGAATGTCACATGCATTGTTTCATCAATCCCCACAGAATGTGCTAATATATCTCCCATTTTACAGGTGAAGAAACTAAGGCAGAGTGTCTAATTAGCTTTCATAATATCAGTGGCAAAATCAAGATCCTAACCCCAAGCAGTTCGCCTCCAGAGCTTGTGCCCTTAATAATCACAATACATTAACCTCTCTTGTTGGTGAGACACGTCCAGACATTGCTTTTTCCACTGTGCCATTTCACCTCCCTTTCTCAGTCTTTTATTAAGTAATTTTTAAGTTGTTTATTCATTTTTATTTAAGGGCACAGTATTAGAGAGAGAAAGATTTTCCATACTTCAGTTAACATCCCAAATGCCTGCAACAGCCAGGCTGAGCCAAAGTAAAAGCAAGGAACTCCATCCATGTCTCCTATGTGGTAGGCAGGGACCCAGGTACTTGACCATCACCTTCTGCCTCCCAAGCATGCTAATGGGAAGCTGAATTGGAAGTAGAGAGCTCCTCCCAAGCTCCTCCGGGTGCTTCCTCAGTGTGGCACACCTGCCAAGCTCCATTAGCCACAGCATCCACCCTAGTGCGATATGTTCCTTCTGCACGCCGCCCTCTTCTCCAGTTCTAGTTCTGCACTTCCTTTGTCATCTGCTTCACTTCCTTCTGTTAATCAAATCCCCCTGCTGTTCTGTGTTCTAGGTAGGTCAGATTTTCCTATTCGGTGCTTTCATAGTTCCTTTTCCCTACATCATACATCTTCCATTTTCCTCAATCTGTAATTACCTCCTCAATTGTGGGGTTGGTTAGTTAAACCTGTTTGTCCCACTACACCGTCTGCTCCATTGCATAGACAGAGGGGCCCACCACAGTGCCTGGGGGCACAGCAGCAGATGGTAGCTAAATAGGTTTTGATTCCTGAGGCCAGCATCTGTTGCAATCTCACCTAACCACTTACCCCCATTAAGTGTTTCCTGGTAGGATTTACCCAAAATACAAATTAGGGAGTGTCTATTCAAATACTCTTTCTATGACTTATACAAATTCAAAGAGCCTTTTACTGCATTTGAAAAGACAGATGAACTTCATTTGCCAAATCCAAGGCCTATTAAAATCAAAAGAATTTAACAATGGGGAGTGATTGGTGTGCAATACCAGCTGAAGGACCAGTAGGAAAGTAAATGACCTAGTTACAAGGTCATGGAACCACTGCTGTTGGTTGAGTTCCCTAAACAAGGACATTGCTGAGGACACAAGTTACATAAAAACGAAAAATAATTTAAAGAGGAAGTAGTACAGGTTCTGGCGTTTTAGCACAGTGGTTTAAGCCACTACTTGTTAACGCTGGCATGCCATATTAGAAGGCCAGCTCAGATCCTGCCTGCTTTACTTCCAATTCAGCTTCCTGCTAATGCACCTGGGAAGGCAGCAGATGCTGGTCCAAGTGCTTGGGTCCCTGCCACTCATGTGGGAAACCAGAATGGAGTGCCTGCCTCCTGGCTTTAGCCTGGCCCAACCCTAGCTGTTGCAGCCATTTGGGGAGAGAATCAACAAATGGAAAATTCCTCTCTCCGCCCTGGCCCTGGCCCTGGCCCTGGCCCTGGCCCCGGCCCCCACTCCTGCCCCCTGCCGTCTACCTTCCAAATAAATAAGTCTTAAAAAAAAAACAGAGAGATGATGATGATGAAGTAGTACACTGCAAAAGTGCAAACTTTGGTGAAATATATAAAAAATTATTCAAGGGGCCAGCATTGTGGCAAGGCTGGTAAAGCCACTACCTGGGATGCTGGCAACCCATATGGGTGCCAGTTCGAGTCCCGCTGCTCCACTTCCAGCATAGCTCCCTGCTAATATGCCTGGGAAAGCAGCAGAAGATGGCCCAAGTGCTTGGG